CAAGCACACAGCGTGTAGCCGTCACAACCGCAGCAAACTGCTGTCGGAACATCCCAGAGGATTCCTTCCCGGTCGTGCGCGATGTTATGCCTATTCTCGAGAATATTCTGAACAACAACGATCAAAAGGTTGTAGAGCAGGGCTGCATCTGTGTCTCTAGAATCGTTCAGAGCTTCCGGCAACAGGAGAGCAAGCTGGAAGAGCTGGTCAGCCCAGGTCTTCTCAAAGCCATCCTGCGACTTCTGCTTCCAGGCAGCACGAATCTCATTGGACCCAGCATCCACACTATGTTCTTGCAGGTTCTGGCGTACACCGCCAAGGCAAGCCCGCGTCTATCAGCTGAGCTATTGAAGATGAATGTGGTCGATACTTTGTACCAGATCCTAACTGGTGTTTCACCTCCTAGTGGCACTGAGGACGTCGCAGCTAAGATTGACTCTGTCGTCATCATGCAAGCCTTGATTCACCGGCCCAAAGATCAAGTTTTCGAGACATTGAATGTTATCTGCGAACTGCTGCCCGATGTCCCGACCGAGGGTCTGATGTACCTTGACGATCTCTTCGATGCCGGCTACCCAGGCGACGACCTCCTTCCACTTTCTTCCACTAACAAGAAGACCACCAATGAGAAACGCGTCGAGCTTTTGGAAGATTGCAAGGCAGAGGTTAAGCGCTTCGCCGTGATCCTTCTGCCTACTCTGACAGACGCCTACTCAAGTACTGTCAACCTCAGTGTACGCCAGAAAGTGCTTACCGCTCATCTCAAGATGTTGTCAAATCTGGATACCGATATTCTCGAGGAAGCGCTACGGCCGGTACCCTATGCTTCGCATCTGGCATCGATCTTTACGCAGCAGGACCACCCATCCTTGGTCACATACGCGTTACAGGCTGCCGAACTATTGCTCAAGCGACTGGAGCCCATCTACCGGTACCAATTCTATCGCGAAGGCGTCATATCCGAGATCTCGCAATTGGCGAACCGCCCCTGCAAGTCGTTGGAAACCAAGCCCAAGGATTCCAAGCTGGCAGGAGAGATCGAGGTTGCAGCTGATTCGGGTGCTAGCACCATCTCCACTGCAGAACAAGACGCTGAGCGGGAAGCCGCCCAGTCGAGCGACGGTGTCGACGTGGAAATGCAGTCCGACGATGGCGAAGACGTGGATCCGGACGATGAACCGAATGAAAGCAGCCAGAACCGAGACGAGGATGATGAGTCGGACTCTTCGTCGTCATCTGACCAGCGGGAGCCAGTACCGATGCCCGATATCGAAGATATCATCACGCTCCGTGCTAAGAAGTTCATTGACGTTCACGAGAAGGAATCTGATAATCCTATACGCGAAAAGGCTTCTGCGGTCCTGGAGGACCTGAAATCGCTTGCTGATGAAATTAAGACGTGCGTTGCTGATGGTGCTACAAGCGACTGTATGAACATGTTCACAAGACTGGCATCTTACTTTGAAGGCGATGCACTAGAAAGCATCACAAGCTACGAGCTGAAAACATCGAAGATTGTGGAGGTGCTCTTGGAGCTGTTCTCGATGTCTACATCTGACAAGAAGGTCGACCCTAGGCCCATCTTCTTGGAAGCCTTCATGGGAGGTAGTGGCCAGAGCAAGATCAAGACCGCGAGCACTGCGTCTCCAGCTACGCCTTTCAGCGTATTGGTCCATAAGCTGCAAGATCTGCTGAGCAGATCCGAACACTTCGACGTAATTACTGTTCATCAAAATATGTACGACAGCCGAGGAAGCGCAACTTCCATGTTGGCTAAGCAGTTGAGGCTGAAGCTTGTCGCCGATGACGATTCGGGAATCCCAAAGACTTACCGCAATATCATGGTGTCCATTCACGCCATTGCTACATTCAAAGCCCTAGACGACTACCTTCGACCCCGCATCAGCCTCGCAGATCGGCCACGGCCGGCCAAGACTCGCGACCAATTCCCATCTCGGGACCAATTTGAGGCCATGTATGCTCAAGCTCTTTCGGAAGGACGCGCACCACCACCACCCCACACCCCTTCAGATTCGTCACACCGTGCTTCAAAAAAGTCTTCGCGATCCAAGGCAGCCCCGGCCGATGCATCCCAGCCAGGACCGAGCTCGGCTACACGAGAGAAGTCTCGTCGATCAAGTAGGCGTCAACAGGCGCAGCTTCCTCCACCCCCGCCACCACCCCCAGCCAAGCCTCACTCGAACAGCAGCCAAGATCCAGTCGAATGTGCTGATGAGGCGCAGCTCTCCGACCAAGATTCTATGGATGACGACAGTGCCTTGAATGCCATCGTCGACGATCTTGAAGATGAGCTGGATGAGGATATGCCAGATCCATCGGCTGTCAGTGTCGAAGTCGCATCGACAGGACAAGCCACTGCTCGTGAAGAAGACGGCACGCGGATTGCTACACCCGTACAAAACACACCACTGGCAAAGCCACCTTCCGAAAACCGAACTCCAGCGTCACGTCTGTCTGCCTTACTACAGAGCTCGGCTGCCATGCGTCAAAATCTAGGTGGGGCAAGCGCTCTGTCATATGCTGCCGCTGTACAATCGACCCCTCAAGACTGGCATATCGAATTCAGCGTGAACGACCAGCCACTCTCAAATGAGACAACAATTTACCGCGCTGTGCACTTCAGCCAGGCGCAACCAGCGGATGGATCACATCGCTCGGTTTGGAACGGTATTCATACCATCAAGTTCAAGCGGGTGCAGGGCCCTCCACCAAGCGAGCCCAGCTCCTTGACACCGCCGCCAGAGTCACGTTCGGACGTTTCGGGTATGCCAGCCTCACTTGATCAACATCCAGTGACATCTGGTATTCTGCGATTACTTAGCATACTCCACGGGCTGAACTCGCACCTTGACGACATCCTGCTGGCGAACAAGGAACAGGTCAAACTGAATACCGAGCCGCTCTCACAATTCGTCAACACGAAGCTCACAGCCAAACTTAACCGTCAGTTAGAAGAGCCTCTTGTTGTAGCAAGCAACTGCCTCCCTAGTTGGAGCGAGGATCTGGCTCGGTTCTACCCATTCCTTTTCCCGTTCGAGACGCGCCACCTCTTCCTACAGTCTACTTCGTTTGGCTACTCTAGGTCGATGACGCGATGGCAGAACTCGCAGCCCACAAGCGACTCACGTGACAGTCGACATAGGGATGAGCGGCCGTTCCTAGGTAGACTTCAACGCCAGAAGGTTCGCATTTCTAGGTCCCGAATCTTGGAGTCCGCTATGAAAGTCATGCAACTGTATGGACATTCGGCTAGTGTTCTGGAAGTCGAGTACTTTGAGGAAGTTGGAACTGGTTTGGGACCGACGTTGGAATTCTACTCCACAGTATCCCGCGAGTTCTCAAAGAAGAAGCTGAAGCTTTGGCGAGAGAATGAGTCCAGCGATCAGGACGAATATGCCTTCGGCAAGCGAGGACTCTATCCCGCTCCCATGAGCACTGAAGAAGCAAGCACCGAGAATGGAGAGAAGCGTCTCGAGCTGTTCAAGATTCTGGGTAAATTCGTCGCTCGCTCCATGCTGGACTCTCGCATCATCGACGTGTCCTTCAACCCAACATTCTTCCGCATCAGTGACGGTTCCAGCGCAGCAGTTGCACCATCTCTTGGAGCGATCAAAGCAGTCGATGAAGACCTGGCCAAGTCTTTGGTTCTACTCAAGCAATTTGCCGATGCAAAGCAGAAGGTTGACAACGACAATCTGAGCGCAGCCGCAAAAGCCGCGGCTCTTAACGACATTGTCATCCAAGATTGCCGGGTGGAAGACTTAGCTCTCGACTTCACACTTCCTGGTTATGGTTCCATTGAGCTTATTCCGAACGGCGCGGATACCTCCGTCACGATCGAGAACGTCGACATGTATGTAGAGAAGGTCATCGACTTCACCCTGGGCTCTGGTGTCCAGCGACAGGCAGATGCTTTCCGCGCAGGCTTCACAGAGGTCTTCCCATACTCTGCTCTCAAGGCATTCACCCCTGATGAGTTGGTGATGCTATTCGGTCGGACGGATGAGGATTGGTCGCTCGAGAGTAAGTTTAGAAACGTCCACCACTTCAGCACTGTTACTAACCACACCACAGCTCTTATGGATTCCATCAAAGCAGACCACGGCTACAACCTCGACAGCAAGAGCGTACGCAACTTACTTGCTACCATGAGCGAATTCGACGCGCAGGAGCGGAGGGATTTCTTGCAGTTCATTACCGGCAGTCCCAAGCTACCAATTGGAGGTAAGTCATATCGTTCACTGTACATCAAACCCTGTTTACTAACACGTCTCCAGGCTTCAAGGCTCTCACACCAATGTTCACGGTCGTTTGCAAGCCCAGCGAACCACCCTACACATCCGACGACTATCTCCCTTCCGTCATGACATGTGTCAACTATCTCAAGATGCCCGACTACAGCACCGTCGATATCCTGCGGGAGAAGCTAAGCGTAGCCATCCGCGAAGGTCAAGGCGCCTTCCATCTTTCCTAGATTGTTCACCCGGTGGTGTAGTGATGATGATTGAGTGAGTGGAGGACTGGCAGGAGAGAATATGGATACCCAGGGGTCTATTTCCTTGTTGGGAGGCGTCAGACGCGTTCTCTCACTCTCTATACGCGCTATAGATTCAACGCCTTTATTTAACGACACTATTTGTGTGGGTTTAGTATGCATTGCAAAGGTTCGGCTTCTGGGAAGCGGCGTTCTGAGTAAGGGGTTTAGTAGTTGGTTTGCGCAATTCGATACCTTTTAGAATCGCACGAGGATCTGTCTTGATGTCTGTGATTTTTGTCAGTGCTGGTGGTAAGTCTGCCAACTCTCCTCTCTACTTTCTATGTGCTGTGATATCTCAGACTCTCAAGGCAGCAGAATGTATAGAGTAAGAAAGAGAGCAATAGACCTATATGTCAACTGCACACCCTCTTGATCACCATGGACAAACCAAGACGATGAATATACCTTCCCATCACATCTTCCGCCAAAAACACAGACGTTCGCGTGAAATTATTTTATTATCCGATAAATGATCGTGAGTCTCCAAGTCGCAATACCAGTCATGTCCAAGTCCAAATCCAAATCCAGTCTCGTCCCTATCGTTACACATTCATCCAAGCCTTGTTTTACTAAAAACCCATGCACTTATGTATTCACCCATACACCATCGCCATCCTGCGTAGGCCAGGAAGTCGCCCGGGTACTCTAATCCTCCTCCTGAGAGTCAGCGAGAGCAGAGTCGGCGTTGCCAGACGAGGTGCCCTTGCCACCTGAGGCCTTTCCGTTACCAGATGCAGATGCGGCTGAGGCGCCGTTGGAGGCGCTGTTTGCACCCGCACCCTTGGTGCCAGATGTGCTAGTAGATCCAGATGCACCGTTAGAAGCACCGGTAGAGCCAGACGCACCAGTAGCACCGGTACCTGCGGCACCAGCTCCTGTAGCTCCAGTTCCTGTAAGTCCAACTCCTGCGGCACCACCAGCAGCGGGGCCATTTGCACCACCGGCAAGAGGACCGTTTGCACCAGCAGCGGGAGCGGCGCCGCCGGCAGTGGGGGGAGTAGGGGGAGTAGCTCCATTAGCGGGGGGAGCAGGGGGAGCAGCAAGGCCACCAGGAGTGAGAGGAGCAGGAGGAGTAGCTCCGTTGGCACCAGGAGCGGCACCACCGGCTGTGGGAGGAGTAGGGGGAGTAGCTCCATTGGCGGGGGGAGCAGGGGGAGCAGCAATGCCACCAGAGGTGAGAGGAGCAGGAGGAGCAGCTCCGTTGGCACCGGGTGCGGCACCACCGGCTGTGGGAGGAGTTGGGGGTGTAGCCCCAGCTGCTCCAGTACCCGCGCCGGCAGTAGGAGGAGTTGGGGGAGTGGCGGCTCCGGCACCTTGTTGACCACGGCCCGCGCCTGATGTATGTCAGTGTCTATGGTAGGAGTTGTTGGAATTTAGACCACTTACCGGCTCCTTGTTGACCGTTGGCAGCTCCATTGCCTTGTCCCCTGCCAGCTCCGGTACCAGTTGCTCCAGTACCGGTAGCGCCGTTAGCAGTCGCTCCTGCACCGGCTGCTCCGTTACCAGCTCCTTTGCCAGCGCCAGTACCAGTCGCTCCAGTACCGGTAGCTCCAGTTCCAGTGGCTCCGTTGGCAGTAGCTCCAGTGCCAGCAGCTCCGTTAGCATTTGCTCCGGCACCAGCAGCCCCGTTCAAGTTACCAGCGCCCTTGCCAGCCTTCCCAGTGCCAGCGGCGGTAGCGCCTCCTGCCGCAGCAGTGCCGTTGTTTGCAGCGCCCTGAATCAAGTCAGCTTCGGGAATGGAGTTCAAGACGAGAGAGCACTTACGGTAAGATTACCAGCACCCGCAGCTCCAGCACCCTTCTGGCCCTTCGCAGCGCCGGCTGCAGCACTGGTCGCAGGCGCCTTGGGAGTAGTAGCAGCAGCACCACCCGCCTTGCCGCCAGCCGCTCCACCACCAATACCGAGACCGCTGAGAAGGTCGCCGATTCCACCAGCACCGCCAGCAGCACCGCCAGCAGCACCCGCCGCACCCTTTGCGCCGCCTGCACCGCCTGCACCGCCTGCACCGCCTGCACCGCCAGTCAAACCAGCGAGAAGCTGATCAAGTTGACGCTTGGCGAGACCAGGGAAAAGGGCACTGAGACCTCCTGCACCTCCTGCACCACCCGCACCACCTCCTAGAGCGCCAAGTCCACCAAGGGCACCGAGACCTCCGGCTCCAGCTCCAGCTCCTGCGCCACCAGCTCCAGCACCGGTGAGAGCGCCGAGACCTCCAGCACCACCAGTCAGAGCACTCAGGCCACCAGCACCACCAGCACCACCAGCACCACCAGCACCACCGGCGCCACCTAGAGCACCGAGTCCACCGAGGGCACCGAGGCCTCCTGCACCAGCACCAGCACCAGCACCTCCCGCTCCGCCGCCAAGGCCACCGAGGAGCGCGTCAAGTGCACGCTTGTTCTTAACCTTCTCGGAAGAGAGCTTACGGATGGTAGCGACGTAGTGTGCCGGCATCTTCTGACCACCGGTAGTGTCAACCCATCGCTTCGCCATAGCAGTGTGGTCGCAAGGTTCCTGAGCCGGAGCCGCAACAGCGGTCGCCGCCAAGGAGGCGATAAGGATGGAGGAGTCGAACTTCATATTGGCGGATGTAAAGGATGTGAAGGAGAATTAAAAATCAGCTGCCCGGCAGTGATGTAAGAAGAGAATGTGTAAAGAGGATAAAAGCCGACTAGCAGCGATATATACAAGGAAGAATGATTGAATGGAAGTAGAGAAGAAGACTGAGTAAGCTGGATGAGTATCGAACTGATGAGTAGTAATACTGCATGGAAAGACCTTCTCTATATATTCATACCTCCATGGGGAACGGCCCGATCGGGTGGAGCATGTCCTGTATCAAACGGTGCATGCGTTCTAGCCTTTTATTCGAACGTTTTGTCGATCGTCATGGTAAGCACGCTGTAGCATTGCGTGCGCGAAGACGCACATGCCTTTAGGCTGTTGTGCTGCTGCGCGGGCATGTGCTGTTTGGTACTGCAACGGGCGCAGGCGAAACACTAGTCGTGTAGCTGGTTCCGCATACTATACGCAAAACATAATTGCTTATTCACTCGACGACTCGTAGCTTAAGCACGAAATGTACCTTGGCGTCGCGTGGAATCGCTGGGGAAGCGCTTGACCTTGTCAATACCCAATTCAAATCATATCGCGATGCCTTGCTCGGGCTGTCAGTGACCCGTGATGGACGTGACAGCATATGATATCCTGAGTCCTCTTCACTAGCAATCGTCGACGCGTCTTTCGAGTGATGGTGTCGCTGGTTCCGTCGCAGCACCCGTGAAACGACAGCTTGGCACGTTAGTCGTACGGCTAAGTACGCGTGTTTTGGTTTCGAAACTAAGGCACATCGCGAGCAGCCTTACAACTGCGACAGTCAGCGTACGAGAGCGCCTCTGACATGTTGTTGGAGGTTTCGTGAGCGACCTGGATTGAGGGATAAGTGATTGAGATGGGGGTAACGGATGGCGAGTGGGGTTCGAAGAAGCTTAAAACCTTAGCGTGCCCGCTAGCCTTGGCTTTGAGGGATGGAAGGAGCAGTGGGAGCGAATCTCAGGGCAGTTTCTTGATCTTGCGGAGGCTGTCTTGAATCCGTGTTTGATGATATCCAATCGCATCTCGTCGCTTTGATTTGCTACTAGCAGGGTACTGTCGCTGTACATGCTCCAACATCTTGCGCGCCATACGTCCCTGATATACATAGAGATCTTGCCCAATATCGAAGCTCACTATCTCCTTCTTGCCAGCCCTGTAACATACAGCTCTCCAGGCTCTGCTTCTACTTTCCATCCTTCGTTGACTAATGTCTTCAAGACTGCAGGTCCCAGCTTTCCCCTCCCACCCTCGCTGTGTCTGCCCAAACCGGTGATGATCCTGTATGCCTCGCCACCACCCCTACGACCAGCACCACTCCACTCGGGTATTCTGCGCTCACCCAGACTGTTCCACCAAGCTTGGGTCCGTTGCCTGGCGATCCGCGTCGCATCTGCCACGGTAACGCCATGGAGATCGAGGTATGTGGAACCAGATTGTGTAGAAACGAATGCGTCGGCTTCGGCTGCATTCATCGCCTTCAAATTGGCATTGAGGTCACGGCCTTCTTGTGCGTAGTATGCGGCCGCTTGTCTCATTAGTGGCGTCGACTTGCCCTTGCGGTAGGCGCCAGATGCTTTCCCAAATGCGTCATTTCTTGCAGCGGCGGTGGACGTTGCGTCGCGCGGTCGAACAGAAGGGGTCAGCGTGGGAAGCCTCGTGTCTTCCGAGGGGTCGGACAGGTCAACAGGAGCATATCGTAAGTCGAGTTTGATGCCACCTATCCCACCTGTCTCGCTCGCAGGTTGTTGGGTAAGGGAATTCGCTAATTCCCGAGCTTTTATCGTCGAAGGAGCAGTGAGTCGTACTATGGCAAGAGCGTGCTCAAGGTCCATAGATGGGAAGCCCTCATTCAGTATGATCGCATCCTGTACCAGTGCGGCGTCTGGCTCACTTTCTTTCTTGTGTGCCGCGATGTCCTTCTTCACAATGGCTAACACAGTTGCCGAAAGAGACGTTCCGTTCGCGTGGTAAAGCGATGATACCGTCTTCGCTGACAGTCCAGTTCGCGACGTTATAAAGTCTACATCGCGACTCGTGTTTTGCCAGCGGTTGGACGGCGCGTTCGATTCGACGAGGTAGCTAGCCCCCGCCTCTAGAGATAGTCTCTGCTTCTTCTTGCTCTTAGCTTTCTTGCCTTTTTGCGGTACGTGATGATCTTCTGAGAATGCATCGATACCCTTCGCGATTGGACCTTCTTCAGTAGGGCTCTTTCTACTGTCATCGAAGAAGACTTGATTCAGCAGCTCGTCTGTAGCTTTGTCGTAATCGTATCCACATTTCTTCAATGTGTACGTGACCTGCGCGGGTCGCAGACCTGGGAAGGTTTCGGCAAGCAACAATTCTTTCGTGGAGATGTCCGACTGCTGGATATCCTTGTAGTATCCATCTTCCATGGACCCTTCCGAGCCCCCCGACCGGCCGTTGACACTGAGTGTAGAGAATTCGTTCGAAAGCGTCGAATGGTCCGTCGCTACCGTTTGCGTCGTCCACGATTCGGCATTGGAGTCGACATCGGTGCTGTGTTTATCTGGGCTGCCTTGAACTGCGCCTCCGCTACTGCCAGAGGGGTCGAAATCGAGGGCTTCAGCGTCGGCTGTCAACTTGAGGGGTTCCAGCAATTGTCTAGTAAGATCGAGTGCGTTCGGTTCTCCTGCGAAATCCGAGTATATGGTGTAAAGAAGAGTGGGGTCTATCGTGGGGCAGTATTCCTGCTGCAAGTCGCATTCCCGTTAGCGACGTCGCACGACTCTCTACCCTCGCGCCGTTGCATACCTCGAGAAGACGGAGGTCCTCATCCATTTTGGTTCTTGTAGTATTGACGTCTTCGTATGTGTCTATGCGGCGAGTGCATACTCAAACTGTATGTCGAGACTGTTGTAGTATGTCGCACAACTATCCCCTCCCAGAGACTTGCGCGTTAGATGTGATACGGCGTGTTGTGGTAGGTTGATTGTATGATAGGTGGGCGCACAGGCAGAAGTGCGTGGGGTGTTGTGGCAGAGTCGGCGCGTAGTCGCGAAAACCATGGGTGGAGGGGGGAGACACAGCCGAACTTGGCGAATAAAGTGCAGCTCACCGTTGCTGCAGCATAGCGACCCTCGTTCGGTAGAAGAGATCCAGAGTTTACGATGCTCGATTCCCAAGCTCACTGAATTCTTCGCGCTGGTCAGATGTCACACGTCATCTCGTCCTGGATCCAACTGCGCGTCATCTACCGGCTTAGTCGACGCTAATGCAAGCGCCGCGAGGCTCAAGCGTGAGAGCCCTACCAAGCTCTCGAGAACCTCACGATCCGATGGATAAGCATGGAGCTGGACACTTCCACTTACCCTCGCTGATGGGTGTCGGTGTATGGGGAGCGACACAGAATGCTATCGGGAAGAGGCGGTGTTCGGCCTGAACAATGTGATACACAAGAACCAGGACTGGCTCTACAGCGTGACACCTTTCAGGACTATCGCCAGATGTAAGACCTCATTTGATCTACCTTCTTCTCGTATCTCTTCGACATGAAGTCCCATCTTTCTCGATAGAGACATGCCGTACCTACCGGTCTCGGACTGTTCAACCTTGGCAGCACCGAGAGATCAGCCTCGCGTACCCGTTTTGGCCCCCAACAGCGCTGCGCCGCCATCACGTCCATGGCAGTGCACGTTATTTGTGCTCAGACGTGCATGAATTTCAGGCGGCCTATACAATCCTTGCTATGAGTTTAAGTAGACCTCAGGCCTCCCAGACCCAGCGGCATTTCGCGAGCTTGATCCCCTCGCGTCCTTCATACTCGAAAACCGCATCTCTAACCCCGACCAAGAATCAGACAACATGGCGCCTCTCCAACGTCGCAACACCAACCTCTCGCTGCAAGGCACTGTAGCGGTCATAATCCTTGTCATCATGTTCGTGGCAGGCATCTTCTGCACGGTCATTTTCGTGAAGCTTTGTAGTAAACAGCGGAGGCGCGAAAGGGCTATGCGCAGGATGCAGGAAAGAGACGCGCAGTTCGTCGGGGTTCAGTATACTGCACCACCGGGCGCCCCAAGCAACGGAAGCACGCCACCACCGTATGCAGGACAGGAGCATGTACCGACGGAGCTGCATGGAGACCAATCCAAACACAATGGACCACAGGAGTTGCAAGGAGAAGGAAGAGCTGAACTTGCTCAACCGCAGCAGTTGAATGGGTATATGGCAGCAGTGAGTGCCGTCATTGGAGAAACACATTGCGTTGGGAACAGAGAAGCTGATTTGTTATAGCCAACGGTCGATAATAGTGATCCTATCGAACTACCCGCGAATGCCGTGGTGGCTAATCACGACAACAACGGAGCTGAAGGTCTTGCGATGGAAGAACCGCAACAGGAAAGAAAGACGGCGTTCGTGCGCATGCAAGCTATGTTCAGATGAAGACGTCATGAGACCTAGTAACGCGATAAGACCCCGGGAATGCTTTATGGGCAAACGCCAAAGCTATCCACAAGAGCTTCACGAGCAAATAATCTCCACGAAATGCGTGTAACAATGGAGAAACCACAGCCTTGTCTCGCCTTCGCAGTAAGTGAGCCCGTCACTGCGACTGTACGATTAGCGCATTGCTAGTCTTTATACACACGATCAAAAGCTCCTTCACTGCGACTTCATGATTAGCACAACGCTAGTCCGAATATACACGGCCCGCGACTACTATACTTCGATTAATCTTACACCTCCGCTTGACATTCATTGCAAGCTATCTTGACGATAATCAAGCTTCAGTAACAAATCTTGCTACCCACAACATATCAACACCTCAACACCTCAATACCTCAATACCTCAACAAACAAAATCATAGATCTCATCGACGCCAGCAACGCCCCTGTACCCGTCACCGTGGACCAAGTCACAGGCAACACGGTATCCGCCAACGGGACCGAAAACATCATGGAAGACACTCAGATGGCCAACCGCGAAGACCGCACCAATGCGGCGGATGACGAAGCCGAGGACTACTACATCGACAACAGCCTCACATTCCACGACTTCACCACTCTCCCCTCAGACACCAAGGCCACAATCACCCGTCTCCTGGCATCTGCAGGTGCCTCTTGGGAATTCCGCTCCATGGCTACCCCGTTTCCAGTCCAGTACCTCCCCGATCCAGACTGCCACAATTGGGGTCTAGCACTCATCTCCGCGCTCAACCGTCTTGCGGGTATGACACGCACTAGTTCCAAGTTTGAGGCAATCGCGTTTGTCGTCAAGCACATGAAAGAGCGGAACGATGTTCCTGGTAACACTGAGGATGAGAGTATGGCGTCTTCGAATCTTGAGAAGGGAATACGGTGCTAACGAGGTGCTTGAAGGTATTCCTGCTTCAGTGATCATGGCAGGTGATTTCGTTATTCGGCTTCAGGATGTCAACTACAGCATTCGCAAGATGCGGAGTCGGGTTAATAGCTACCGACCTGATCCACAGGGCCAAGGTCAAGGCCGAGGTCATGGACGTGGCGGCTACCGTGGTGGTCGAGGTCGTGGTCGTGGTCGAGGTCGAGGTCGTGGTCGTGGTCGAGGACGTGGTAGTGGAGCGAGGGGACGAGGGGGTATGATGGGTTTCCACGGCTGAACTGTTGTTGTGTTGTCGAAGCTACCTAGCTGTCGATATCAAGCACCGTAGAGAGTGACATAGATGGTCCCTGTATGCTTCACAGTCATATTGGATGTACATGGATACCCAAAAAATACATTGAATGCCTCCACACCTTGCCAAGATACAGGCCTCCGTGAATCCAAGACACGTGTCGACGACTACGCATATACTACGCTAAATCCAACCCTCTCTGCGCTACATCCAATGTATGCCACAACCCCCCAGAAATCCATTGATGATGAACAGCACAGTCACCACGCTCAGCCGCATTGCGTCCTTACCGGTAAGCCTCATAGGCTCCGTCCCTAGGCCAAACATATCCTACGTCCCTGCCACACACGTAAAGCTCAAAGCAGAGCACATCGTGATGGTATTCATCTGCGTATTGCGACAGATCTGGATGTATGTAGAAGGCTGGAGGGATAGTAGGAGGCGAAGGAATAGGGCTGAGGAGGAGAACGCGGAAGACAAGGGGCAATCAAATAAACGCTCGAAGAAGAGGAGGGCGCTCGGACAGACGGGTAGGAGAACGGGTGAGGGGAGGAGAGTGAGGATCGTTATGAAAGGGAGATATACGCTGATGTTGCAGTAAGAAAACAGCGTGATATAGTGTATGAAGCTAAGTCTATATGCATTTCCAGGATCTAAAACGTTGTTGGTGTAGTCTAGACGTGTCCGCAACACAGTCATGTAAGCCCGGTGGGATGAACAAATAGCACCCTTACATAAACCGGCGAGCAACTGGAACGCTCTCATCGCTGTCTGGCTCAATCTCCTTCTGCACCCGATAGCCTGTTTCGTCTCCCGATTCGCTCTCTGGTTCACTATCCGATATCTGGGTCCTGGCATCCGGTTTTGACCAGAGTTTGCCTTGCGATTCGTCTTCTGATTCGTCTTCCGATTCGGTATCCTCGTCCATGGCCCCAATAATATCCAACTGTAATCCCGCCGTCTTGCACGCATCTTTGATTTCTCTTGATACTCCGTCTTCGCCTTCAACCACCACCATGGTCTTCCAATTCCTGGCAACGATATCTTTCTGCTCTATCGTAGCCAGGAGGAGGTCGGTAACCTCAGTGTCGCTTCCTAGTTCATTGAAAAACTCAAGCGTATCCATCACCGGCGGGAGACCAACGGAATGAAGTCGCGGCTTCTTAGATGACTTTCCAAATAACTGGTAATCCCAATTTAGACGCAGTGTCTTTAGCGCTGCGAACTCGCGCATACGAAGCACTTTGCGCCCGGTAAGGGTTGGGTGATCGATTGTGATACTCTTCAAGAACTCGGCTTGCGATTGTGCGGCCAAGATATAATCTCCAACGTTATCAGAGCTCTCCTCCAATTCTGGCTCAGGCTCTTCCGTTTGCGTCATGACAAATTCCTCAAGCGCCTCGGGTAGTTCGAGGAGATCTCCAAGTGAGTCGTCGTTGATATCGCATTCGATCAAGTGAAGTTGTTTGAGCGCGGTCATGTGTGGCCGCTCGATGTGATCGAAGCCCTTCTCGTCTAGCTTGGCTCTGCGAATCGTCAAGGTTTCCAGCGTAGGATGGGCGAAGATATGTATGTTCTCGCGAAGGTCCCAGTAAGCATCGTTAGCGCATTGGTAGAATAGTGAGCAGGACTTCAAGCAGGCGAGGTCGAAGGGTCCATTGAACAAGGTACCAATACCGTGAAGGAGCACGTCGGGGACCGAGATATCGAGCTTCTCCAGATTTGACATGATCGATAGCGTCCGTGAAAGGCTATCTGAGCGCTTGGGATCCAAGTATGAACCGGCGACAGGTGCGTCGAGTGCCAGTTGCGACAGCTCCGAAGACGGATAAGCCAGCTTGATTTCATGGATGGCTGAGCCACGGCGCGGGCGACGACTCAATGACTCGCTGAATGTGAGGTGTAGCTCTGGGGTTTCGAACAGAATGCTCTTATATAAGACGGCGTCACTGAGGCGGTGGCATCGTTTGTTGACGCGCGATACGTTGCAAAGGTCGCGTCTGGAGAGGCAACCGACCGCCTCGAAGATGTGGAGCAGCAGCTCATCTGGCAGCGCACTCAGTCTGTCGCGTAGAACGACGTCGGTTCTGCTGTCTTTATCCAACGGCATATCTGATACTAGTGTATCTATGCGAGAGAGAGGAGACGAGGTATCCATGCGCGAGGTACTTCGCAACCTTTGCTGCGAACACGTGGAGTTGGCCTGACTCGCTGCAGGTGGAATGCGGGGAAGCTTGTGGAGAGCCGCCGATCTTCAATCAAGGTACGATAGGACGATACAAAGGAAATGATGCATGAAAGTGATTTGTCAAAGTTGTTGTTGCAGACATTAGAATACGATGTTGGAGTATGCAAGAGTTTAAGAATGAAGGTACAGTGGTGACACGTCCAGCGACGGGGCAGGGTCAGAGAAGCGCGCACGGCCCGCCACGTGCGGCTGGTCCCATGACATCACCCAAAAAACCTCATTCCTCATCTGACGCTTGTATTCCCACAAATGACATCTCCATACGATTTGTATCGGCTTTCGGTTCTATGCTGGTACGGGTCTACTGATGGAACATGCATCTCGAAGTCGAATTACTCAAGCCTGTATCATACCATTGGCCGGCACTTCTACGCCAGGGCTTGACAGCCGTCGGCATATGGCGCACAACAGCATCGTGAAATTAGGCTCACAAGTATACTTCGCGACTTCTGCCAAGCTTTCCAGTGCGGAAGAAAAGCACTTTGGATCTTCGGGACTGTGACGTGAAGCATGCTGCGGTGAAGTTCACGAAGTGCTGCATCAATAAGAGATACGAGGAAAGCTCTACACATACGACGAAAACTCGCTAGTGGCATGATTTATCGGTGTACTCAACTATTTAAAAGAGGCTACTCGAAAATCGCTGGATAGAGAAGATGGCCGGACAAGCAGGTATAGTCATGTTGGTTTAGAGACATTCTTTACACGCTCAATCAAATTACAAATTGTTCAAATGCTTGACAATCCCAATCATTCTAACTGCCCTAATTATTATGACAGATAATGCCTTTGCAAAATGGTTGCCTGCATTGTGCAAGTTTTAAGTGGCTCGTTTCTTGTTATGTATGATGATAGTTGTGAACCACAGTTGAGATATATCGGAACCTAGGCTTACAATCAACACAGGAGACAACAGCAGCACTAGTGTACGATATCCAAAAAGGATTAAATAATGGAGAAATCTAGATGATCGTTCAAATGAACCTTGTTTTTACGTTGCTATAGCACAGGTACAGATGATCGAGAAATAATATCCACAACCATCATGCCTACGTTCTCCTGAACTTGGCTTTCTACGCCATCAAGACTCCAACACGAAACCTTTTCGAACTCCCTATCTGTGCCAACATATAGATAGATTCCCTATGCGCAAAGCACGCTGGAGCCCGTACTTCACTCATCCGATCAAGACCACCAACTTTCTTTTACGTCACAGTACCCAGGCAGCCCTATACATCACATTCACCCTTGGCAATGTGCTAGGCCACTGTGATACAGCACGAGCCTACTCGCAGCACTACGCCTGTATAAAATCCTAGGCACTCTGCCTAAGAAAAACGAATCACTGTCGAAGAAAAGTCTCAACTATCGTAGAAGTTGATCACCGAGACTGAGCGGTCGGCCACCCCTTTTGTCTACCAGATCATATCTGTAAGTCTTTGAAGCCTAGTTTGATAACCAGGACCAACACTACTAGATCCTGAGATTGGCAAAGATGTCCGACTCCAACCAATCCCACTCCCTTAGCCCGGGCTGGTCCACCGACGGCTCTTCCTCCCATCCTCCGCCTCTCTCCCCAACCGCGCAGCTCAAACTCGCCCTCGCCAGCAAGTCCAGCCACGCAGTCCTCTCGCACTGTCTCGGTCTCTCGACACTCGAAGGCATGCCTGCTGCAGCCAACAACATGATTGTCGTCAACTTCGACACCGAGAACTGGGTCTGCAACCACAACATGCTGACCGAGATCGGCGTGTCCACGTTCGACTCGCGGGATATGCGCGCGCTGCCAGGTCCGGGTATGCATGGAGAAGAGTTGCTGAAGCAGGTGTACTTCTACCATGCGCGTATTCTGGAGAATGCACATCTGTTGAATTTGAAGTGGTGTCCTGGAGATCCGGAGGCGTGAGTCCCATTTCTTTCTATCTAAACCAAGGGAAGAAGGCTAATTGTAACATAGCAACCGCTTCGGTAGCACTCGTTTCCTGACCAAGTCCGAGGCCAAGGACATGCTCACCGCGATGTTCCAATGGCCCGTCGACGAGAAAGATACTTCGGAGGGTTTCTGTCCTGTTGTTGTCATGGGTCATGCCCTCCAGGGTGATATGGCTATGCTGAACTCTACTCTTAGCTTCAACGCTATGGCTCTGGGTACAGTCGTCAAGGTCATCGACACTCAGTACCTAGCCAAAGAGTGTGGATACGATTCCTGGGGCGGCAACAAGATCGGTCTTAGTAGCCTCGTCGGCATGTGCGGCTTCTCTTATCGGGATGCTCATACCGCTAGCAACGACGCTGCTATGACACTCATTGCTGCTGTCCAGATGGTGCTTCCTTCCGACTTCAAGCCCGAGGAAGGCGGTCATCTCCAGGAGGTTGTCGATGCGATCGAGCTGCTTAGTCAGGTACAAGAGTGGGGCTGGGGTAGCGATCTCTTCTGTCTTCGCTGCGGCAAGTATGGTCATACCAAGGAGAACTATTGTGGCAAGCGCTGCTACGCCAAGGTCAAGTGCGATCACTGTGCCTCTTCTCAGTCGGACAGGCGCAAGCAGGCTAAGGGTACTCATATGACTGAGCGTTGCATCTCGTATGCTATGCGTGGTCCTGAGGTGGTTCCCTCGATTGAGAAAGTCGCCAATGCGGTGGCTGCTCTTGACCTTGCAGGTTTCTAGAGGTGTCAGTAGTTTATCAGACTGAGAAGGTATGATACCCTGCAATGACCGGATTTCTTGGGATATCTCCACGCTGTCTGTAGGATACCTCGTACTTCGACCTTGTGAATTTTACCTTGGCGTTTTTTGAGGATGGCCGATGTTGTTCCAGCTAGAGATAGAATCCACTATAGGTGGTCAAAGAATGCATAATTGATACACAAATTCGTCCAAGTGACCGCCTTTTTCGATATTGCAATGCGACGCTGTCACGTGCTGTTGGCGAAGGATATCGAAGCGGTGCAATACCGCGAATCCTGGCTCGAAAAGATGAAAGACCGGTGTGTAGGCGTAGCTTCAGAAAGTAATGGATTGGCCGCTTGAGCAATCGCGTGAGCCGTACCTTGGATAGCTCTTTTACGCTAAGTCCCTTAAGCTGCTCCAGTGGACATAGCCATGGGAGGCTGCCTTGGACCCATGATCCGTCACTCAATGTGAGCAGCGTCGACGCTGTATAAGTACGCTGCTACTGCCATTGCCGATAGCATTGCTATCTGCAGATTGTGAGTATAGACTTACTTCAACGTACTCCAACGAAGTGCTCCTCCTCCTTCACTTTCACTACCGCCCCTCCATGACGACCCCGTTTGCGCGGCGGGGCGGGCCAAAGCACAAGATCGCTCACGCTCACTGATCAGATCAATGAAATACGTGCTCATCTTGGGCTAGTGACCGTTCACACCATACATTCGGCTTTCTCGCACCTACCCCTCTGGTCTCCGTCGCACTCTCTACTTGTCTTTTCGCAACCAGAACCCGCGACTACATTCAACCCGAGCGACATCGCCGACTTGATATTGCTCACTTGCACGGCATACTACGTAAGACAGCGGACTTGCCCACCGTTATGGGATATTCACCGCATCCCAATACTCTACCTCTCTCAAGCGACACCATCATGTCCCAGAATTCCCGAGGTGGACCGGTTCCTGTCACCGCTGCCCCATCCACAAGTACTCAACCTGATGTTCAAGATCGCGCGGTCGCCGCGCTCGAAGCCAGCTTCAATAAAGTCAGTATAAGTACCACACCTGATGGTCGAGATCCTGCAATCATTGCGCTCGAGACCCGCTTCAAAGAGGCCAGCGACCTCGAAGTCTGGGAGCACTGCGTCGGTGGCAGGCGCGTTAAGAAGATCCCCGCCATCGCTGACGACTTGGCGAACCACATCATTGTCGTCTGCCTTGACTGTGAACACTGGTCTAACAACACCGATGAGACTACTGAAGTCGGTGTCGCTACTTTCAGTCGTCAAGATGTACTGCCGATCGCAGCAACCGGAGACTTCGGAGACCACGGCGAGTACCTAATGCAGAAAGTCCGGTTCTACCTCTTGCGTACGATCGAGACATCCCATCTCCCAAATCAGAATCCAGAGTCGCGGGGAGTCGAAGGCAACCGCTTCGGTCAAGGCCGGTTCGTCACCTTCGCAGAAGCGCGTCAGATCCTGACCAACCTCTTTGTCCAGCCCATCAATCGCATACCCGGCCTGAGCGGTAACTACCCGATCGTCGTTCTCGGCCACGACGTCGGACACGATCTGAACAACCTCAAGTCCAAGGCTATTGCTTTCGACATGGAGCCGATTGGAACCGTCGTTCGCTACATCGACACCCAGCTGCTGGTTCGTGACAAGGGCTATTGGATGATGCCTCGCAACGAGCAAGTCGGCCTGAGGCGTATGGTCGAAGAGCTCTCTTTCGAGCATAGTGATTCCCACACGGCGGCAAACGACGCCGGTCGTACGTTGATCTCAGCCTTTCAGATCGTTTTGGGCGGTCACAAGTGCAAGAGGTTCGCGCACAAGAGCATGAAGCAAGTGGCAGGCGATCTGGAGCGCCATAGTGTGGCGAACTTCGGTGAGAGCCTCGGTGGCGTTGAGAAGTACTGCTTCAAGTGCGGCACTGCTGGCCACATGAAGCCAGATTGCCAGGCAACAGACCTTCACTGCGATGAGTGCGAAGAGAACAAATGCAACATCGCGCTAGGAAAGGAACACGTCACCGAGCACTGCATTTGTGTAGCCAACAAGAAGGCTCTCGTTCGACGCGAAAAGGACGCTATCGCTCGAGCTCTCAAGAGACCCAAGTTTAAGAATCCACCTCGTGGGGGCTTCTACTCCAGCTGGGATCGTTCGATGTCACGTCGTGGTAGCACTCGTCCGTCTGGTCCTACCATGGACTATGACGGTCTCCGACAGTACTTCGGCTCTGCTGGTGGACATGGCTTCGTCACGCCTAGCCCTGGAGGACACCCTTCCGTCAGAGGCTTCGGCAGACATTTCGGCCAAGGCGGCCATGGCAACGTTTCGTTTGGTCGCGGTCGTGGTGGAGCACACCCTCCACGTGGAGGACACGGAGGATACAACCAGGGTTGAGATAGCGATGACTGCACAGGTGTTTTGGCGTTAGATTGGCGGCGCTTTGGACAGGGCGGGAAGATATGGGTCGCTTTTGGAAGTTCAGATGACCGCTGAAAACGCCTTGAAGATACCCTGGGTCTAGCATAGATGCGAACAATATAGGATGAATGTACACGATACCGAATACGGTGTTGGTTGCGAGAGGTGTGATGTGCTGCTGACTAAGGCAAAGCAGCAGGCAGCTGCGTCATCGGTGGGCTGTAAGCAGCACCCCTGCCGCGTAGCCGTCAACAACTCTCACCATGATAACCATAATACCCCCGCGATGCCTTTCGATGGAGTGCGGTTGACCTCTTAATCTCTAATACTCTGTCACACTACCGTCATGATTGAAAACACGGTTCCCAAGTACCTGCTGATCAGGACGTGCATTCTTGGATTTCGCGCCATCACGCCCTTCAGCATTTTCTGGGTCTCTTTCAGCATCGCAGAGCCCCCACATACGGCCTTTCGTCGCTTTCTCCTCGCGTGGAGCATCATAGAGACTGCCTTCTGGCTGCTCGTCTACCTACCCCGCAAGCGCGCGCTTCAAGCCTCTGCGCAGCACCCGCCGCCCCTCGAGAAGGAGGAGAGGAAGGAACTCTTCTGGCGATGCTGGGATAAGATCCCTCACCCCGAGTACTACGTCAGCAGATGGTTTCTGGGCGCGAGACCAGGCGAAATACGACGCGAGAATGTGCGCGAGTTCTTTGCGTGGGCGCTGCTGAACCGCGGCACTGAGAGCGACGAAGAGCGGAGGAAGAGGCGACAGGCGCACCCAGCGGAAACCAATGCTGAGGACGACGAGCTGAACGAGTATGCGGATGGCATAGAGACGATGCTTGAGAGGAAGTTGGCGCCTGGCATGGGCAGCGCAAAGAGCTTGCGCTTGACTATCGACCAAGTCAACATGGCGCATCGGCCGTTTGTGTGGTACATGGTATGTCTGCTGGTCTTGAGATTATATGTGGTACTGACGGCGATAGATCGTGATGCTAGTCGATACCCTCACCGCCGCTCGTCTGCGCTACTACGGCTTCCTGCTGTTTCGCACCCACCTTCGTTCCTCGCTGGCTATCTTCCCACCGCGACTCGCCAACCTCACTACGCGCAACATCTCATCCGCGCCTGGTCTGAGTTACTGGTACAGACCACACACCTCGAGGACGCGACTACCGATCCTCTTCGTACACGGCATCGGCATCGGCCTGCACCCATATGTCGAGTTCTTCAACGAGATAAACAAGCATGATCCGCTTGCCGCACAAGATGGTCAGGTCGGCATTATTGCTGTGGAAATCATGCCTGTCAGCTTCCGCATCACTGGGGCGATTCCAGACAAAGACAACATCTGTCGCCAGATCAACATGATTCTGGAACGCCATGCTTTCGACAAAGTTGTACTCGCAAGTCACTCTTACGGCTCCGTCATCTCTACCTACCTTCTTCGGGACCCCATCACCGCTGCCAAAATCGGCCCGATGGTCTTCATCGACCCTGTTACATTCCTGTTACATCTTCCGGATGTGGCGTACAACTTTACAGCGCGTCGACCTAGAGGCGCGAACGAGCACCAGCTCTATTACTTCGCCTCGACCGACATGATGGTTGCGCAGACCCTGGCGCGCCAGTTCTTCTGGGCACAAAACATACTGTGGAAGGAGGATCTCAAAGACCGGGACGTAACTGTCAGCCTCGGAGGCAGGGATCTGATAGTGGACACCGAGACGATTGGGAAGTACCTAAATGGTGCTGACCTCAAGGGCGAGGACAGATCCTGGAAGGACTCGGAGTGGAGAGGCCACGGCACAGAGACGATTTGGTGGCCTACTGCAGACCACGCACAGGTGTTTGAGAGGCAGGACGGTAGGACGAGATTAGTGCATGTCCTGAGAGAGTACGTGAAGCGTAAAGCGGAGGAGGAAGAGGTACAAGAGTTTCCCGGGCAATAATGCATATCCTTGTACCTGCATTCAGGGTCTTGCCGCTTTGTCGCATTATCCAGGTAGATCAACGTCAGCTTCGTCGGTAGTTTAATCTACGTTTTGTCGATGCAGTCTACGGGAAGCCGTAATTCATTTTGCGGGGGTCCGTCCGGACGGGCCTGAAGCAATTGGCGAGCCGGCCCCGCCGATCCCGAAACGGCATGTATATACCACACATGCATGCGCGACAACGGCATACAAACAATTGGCAGTCCGCCTAGAAGACACCCTTGCATATTCCTTCGGTCGAAATATCTGCATCATGCCTAACGGAAACTGGATCCTCGGAGACCTCTTCACCAAGGAATATGGACATCGCGGCAGTATTCAGAAACTCTGGGAACAACGATGGAAGTTTCCCTGCACAAAAGGCGTCTACCCTTTCCATGATGGGAAGTTCGAAGATTTCGAACCGATCTTTAAGCATCTCATTGACAACAACATCAACGACCCGTACGATGATGCATACACAAATGCTTTCTTATCAACTGCGCAACGCCTAGCGAAAGAAGCTAAAGAGATGGAGAGCAAGGACAAAGAGGCAGCGAAGAAGCTATACCTAAACGCCAACGCCGTGTACAGATTAGCGCGATTCCCCTACATCGGCACAGAGCTAAAGAAGAGGGTCTTCGAAGAGCAAAAGGAAGTTTACTTCCGCGGCGCACAACTATGGGACATTCCTCTCGAAGAAGTCGTGATACCACACAAACAAGCCTCCAACGGTGACGGCACCTCAATACCCCTCTACATCCGCAAACCCACCGGCCCGGGCCCCTTCCCCACCGTCCTCCTCATCACCGGCCTAGACGGCCACCGCCCCGACAACACCGAGCGCACCCAAGAGCATCTGAACCGCGGCTGGGCAACTGTAATCTGCGACATACCCGGCACAACCGTCGACTGTCCCGCCAATAAGCGCGATCCGCTCTCCCCGGACCGCCTCTTCAGCAGCATTCTAGACTGGATCAAAGAGACATCATATCTAGACGAGAAGAAAGTCATAGCATGGGGTCTCTCAGCCGGCGGCTACTACGCCATCCGCCTCGCACACACGCACTCTTCCCGCCTCCTCGGCAGCGTCGGCCACGGTGCCGGTACACACCACTACATCGGTTCGGAATGGCTCTCCCAGATCTCCAAACACGAATACCCGTTCGGTCTCGAAGAAGCCTACATCCAGAAATACGGCTATTCGTCCTTCGAGGAGATGAAAGACAAATGCCAAGACGAATTCTCGCTCGTGAGTGGGAAAGGCGAGGGTGTGGCTGTTGTAGGGATGGGTATGAGCAGTTGTAGGTTGTTGCTTGTGAATGGCGTGTTAGATGGGTGTATGCCGGTTGAGGATAGTATGTTGCTGGCCGAGTATGGGAGTCCAAAGGAGATGCGGTTTATGCAGGGGAGGTTGCATATGGGGTATCCTGAGGCGAATGGGACGGTTTATCCGTGGATGGAGGGGGTTATGGGTGGCGTTTAGATGGGGAGTAGTATGCTGAGAATGTTCATTACGATTAATCAGATCTTTCGACATATGGAGCTTTGTCCGAGGCTCACTATATATGTCAAGACAGCTGCAAACCTCAACTACCTGCTCGCGTTAGGTTGGGACAAAAAGGAACGCAAACTCAAGATGGCCATAATAGTAACAAAGATCTTTGAGTATTCCAATCTTCAGGTGCATAATTATCAAACTGCTTTCCGCTGGCCAGCCATGATACTGCGTAGATCCTCGCGTACAGTGTCACGACCCGAACAATAAAGTGCTTGTTTGTCTCTCATGTCATCGATTCAACGCTGTGCAACATCGCTAACCTTGGAAGGCAGACACGCTGCACCTTTCCACCCAACAAGACATTTTTCACAGCGAGAAGACGACCCGGCAGATCAGGCCAAATATGTACTTTCGATCAAACCGAAATCTCTACGAACAATGCATACGCATCAACCATGCCCCATGCACTCATCGATGAGCTACTCACACCTCCCTCAACTCGTACAAAACAAATGCTAGAGGAACTCTGCAATCAAAGTCGTTCCAAATCTGAGCGCCTTATACACACCAAGACATCACATCACATCTATCAGAGCACGCAGAAATTAAAATTATCTTAACCTGCATTTTCTCATATTTCCTACCTCCTCCACTTACAATCCCCCGTCTTATGCTCATAAGCATTCTCATTACAGTGCCTTCTCGGATCCGTACTCTCAATACAAAACTCACACGGCACCGCGTTCGGACTACTCGAGCGCTTCGATCCCCCACGTCCATACCCCATGCTACCCTGTGTCTTCAGCAGCGCAGCCTGCTTAACAACGTGAACGCATTTTTGCGAATTATGACTGTACGCCATGTGTCGTGTCAAGGGGTCTTTGTCGCAATGTTCACAGTGCCAGACGCTCACACGGCAGTACGGTGCGGTGTGGTGATGGGAATCGCATTTCTCGCAGAAACGCGTGACGCCGTAGCCGCGGCCTTCTTTGATGGCGGTTTGACCCGCATCGCGGAGTTGCGCTTTGAGGTCTACGTAGTGGAGTTTGTTGAGCGGGGCTTTGGGGGGAGAGCAAAGCATGAGGAAGGCGGCGATCATGGTGCATACGATGTCGTTGCCGGCGTTGTGAAGGTATGGCTCTTCAATGTCATATCCGGAGAGGAGGTGTGCGAGGCGGATTCTGCGGGATGGATTGACGAGTCCGTGTTCTACGGCGAGGACTTGCGTGTCGATTGTTGCGACGATGGTGCCCAGTTCTTCAAGGTCGAGACCAAAGCGCGATTTTATGACTTCGTAGTCGTTTGAGACGGCGTGGCCGACGAAGATGACCGGACGAAGATTCCCGTATACGTCTCGCCGAGTGAAAAGATTGCGCAGCATCTCTTTCGCTTCATTTACGCTGACAAATGTTGTGCTTCCGAATTGAAAGGCATCTGGATGTCCTTCGCAGAGGTCTTTATTGGTGAGATGTGCGTGCGGTTTGATGCGCACATGGTAATTCTCCATGCTGGTGAGAATACTCCATGGTGATGCGGTAATTGGCTGTGGGACGGAACGCGGATCGAGAACAGAAATTCCGAGTTCCGTGATGAAATGGTCATCGTGCTCGTACCACTCGGCATCAGAAGCCACGATGACAGCATCTTGGAGTGCTGCAGCTGCAACGGCACTGCCAAGCGGAATCTCGCTGCCTGGTCGCCTCATCCAATATTGAAGGATGGCTGACTGCGTGAGACCTTGGTATAATTCGGCCTCGATAAGACGTTTCAACTCTCTTGGTAAGACTGGGTGAGACATGTCTGGCGTATATGTGTCTTCCGTGATTTCTGACAACCAAGCAGGTATTGAAATTGGTGTGTAGGAGTATTCGGTAGTCGAAACGGAGGGAAGAGAAGGGAAGTCTTTCAAATAAGCTGAAACCGCCGTTGTGTAGGCATAGGCGAAATCTGAGTAGTGAATGGCGTTGTAGAGCTGATCCGCTTCGAGCTCGGTTAAGGTTTGAATCATCGTAAGAGCCATGATGTCTGAGTATCGGTCCTTGCTGCAATGGTTAATTGTAGAGTGTGAGTGCTAATGGGAAGTTGGTTGTAGAGATGAGACTACTGTGAGAGACCAAGCGCAAGATATACATACTGGAACCGAAAGCGTGATCTTGATGCCTGAAGGCGGCAGACTTTCGGTACCATGGCTGCACACTTCGACTACGGTTTTCGCAACGTATACCACCAATAAGGTATCTACACTTGCAAGCAGCACTGCAACATCGCGATGATACTCTCATTCATTTTCCACGCGTCTGTTTGGCCAGTTGCAAGTATGCGCCGAGGGAGGCGAGTAGTGTGTCACAGCCAATTGGAACACTTCTGACTAATTGTTGCAGTAAGAATGACTGGAGCATGGAGCCATGCGATGGATGACTACAACCTAGGTCTCTTTAGAACATATATCAGAACACATCGTAGCCATGGTGCTGGCTGCTACTTCAATCAGTCGTGCCAGTCTGGGCCGCACCAAAATTGGCGCATTTTGCTGCAGTTTGCTTGACGTAAACTGAAGCGACATGTTGCCGCCCCTGAAACCGAACCCTTTTGAAGCCACATCCCTAAGAAACAGCACTTCTAATAGAGACCTTGGATACCCTATCGTGTAGAAGTATTTGATGGTGTCTAGTTTCCCGCTTTCGAGTAGGAAGCGAAACCAGGAGACGGCAGAGTCGTCAACATTGGATGAACATGGCATCTCAAGACCCACTGTTAAAACAGGTTAGGATAGTGTTTCTCTAACAGTTTTGCCAGTAACGTCCTTCTTGCTTCGCCGTCGTCGTCGTTGTCGTCGTCGCCACCCCACCACATCTCTACTTCAAGGTGATTCCTCTCTCTCATTAGCCGGCTAGTGATGCTAAGACGACTAAGACTCTTTTTCAGAACCTCTGGTAGGGTTTGCAGAAAAAACATGGTATACCGCGTAGTATTTTCGAGAACCAGCTCACTGCGAGACCAAAGGTACTGGAAAGACTGGCTTGGGTTGACAATCCGATGGTAATATATACTGGAATGCGCAACTTCGTTGTAGTAATTGATCCATTCATGTTTGTTGGCCTCAAGTGTTCTTTTCGCCTCTATACTCAATACCTTTGGCAACTAGAAGCAAGGGTGTCGACATGGAGAAGATCTTGTATGTCAACAAAATTTCAGAGTGGGGTTACCGGCGACGTGAGCGTCCATTGGGATCATTTCAAGACACATCGTAGAGTTCGTCTGTGGTTTCCCCTTCTTCTACTTCTGGAGGATGCAGTAGATCGGAGGTATCGAACCATTCTTCTATTTCAAGTCAGTCTACTCCAGTGGTGATGGACGAGGCTCTCTCTATACGCTTGCTGCTCTCTGTGTCCGGCTTGTTGTACCCTGAATCTTGAAGTTCCACATCTTCAGAATTGGTGTGTCGAAAAATTGCTCTTGGCTCGAGCGGATATTCATAGATCATATCGCGAATTTCCTGCGGAAGGTCGTGCAGCCGAAAGCTACGCGTTGTCAGTTTTGACACCACGATACTTAGAGTGGAGCACTGACATATCCATGTGCACGGAGGTATCATCACGCTCCGACGGCAATTCTTCCGCTATCTCTCTGGGCATTACTGTCGGTATGTGTGAAAACGTTCGCGAAAATGGGATGGCGAAGCGCTCGCGGACTGAGGGATTGGTACTAGCGCGGCGCGCTAAGAGAAACCATGGAGGTCTCATCAACGCTCGGGCTTCTGCCTTTTCCAAGGTTACCTCCGCGCTTGAGCTTGGTGAGTCTTTTCACAAGTAACGTTGACTCCGTCACGCAGTTATGACCATCGCGCGGACGCATAAGCTTGAGCATTCTGCATGCTTTTATACTCCTTCTACCACTACGTAAACTTACCTCAAGAACATGGTTCTACTTAACGCAATGCTGTTTTCTTGGGGAGATTGGTATTTGAACAGTAGGCAGTTCGTTCCAAATACAACATGGCTGTATACCTTTTGATTTAGATCTAGCGTCCTGCCTGTATGCTAAATACCAGCAAGACCACGGAGAGCCTTTACAGGGAGTAACGCAGCCGCTGTACTGGGCTATTACCCGCGACCTCGTGATCTTCACAACGCGGGACGCCCTTAAGTCTCGCCATACCCGAGATGACAGTGAGGTAGGGGATATAAGTTCCTCAACCCCAATCAGTAATAACCGATCCACCTCTTCTATCCCTCTATGAGTGTACCCCTCCAGTTTTATACCTCTGAAAAAGCTGTTACCTGTATCTTTGGGTGCAAACTTCTAGTCGGTGTAGTCTTTGTTAAAGAATCTCACGATGTCCAAGCGCCCGTCCTGAAGCATCCCGCATAGATAGTCTGAAGCCTCATTCCAGTTCCAATCCATCTCTTCAAGCGTGCTTGGTATCTCAATCGCCACCGTACGTAAGCTGAGAATATTATCTGAGATCCAGTTCGTCAATAAGGACCCGCCTCTAGGTTGCTCTTGACTCCACTTCGTTTCATAAACTGCACTTGAGAGTTCATGGGGGATTCTCAGCCGGCGAACGCATGATTTCAGCGAGTCTGGAGGATCTTTCAGGAAGAATATGGACCCGCCGTGATTGCGGTGGAGGACGAACTCGCAGCTAGACCATAGATCAATGAGAGCTGGACTTGGTGATCTGACGCGGTGTAAATGTATGGATGCCGACAGAAGTCTCTCATAATGTTTCTTGGTGGAGGTCAGTACCCTTTTGTACTTCCACGTTCGTAGCTTTCGACACGGCGAGTAACGGCGTTGCTCTTGGGATTTTGAAGGCCAAGATGACAGTGTTTCCATCATTACGAGGGCTACCCTCAATCGAGAGTTTGGTATCTTGCAAGAACTTGTCTTCTTCTATGAATTCCTCAGAGCCGTCAGATCGATCGTCATCATCCTGGATATCTTCTGTGATGGCGTCAGCATCAGGACCGCCTGTAGAGCATGTTTTATACCTGGCTGCAGCTCGAGATTGGGTAAGCGGTACGTAGATAATTGCTCCCACAAGCTATTGTGCCAGAGAATGACATTCGGTTCGAGCGCAAACTCATAGATATAATTGCGAAGCTCTAGTGGAAGGTCCTGTAATCGGAAGCTAAGTGCTGTCAGTTTCAGCAACGAAGAAGTCAGGTATCAAGAGTGCGTACATTTCCAGATGTGCGGCAGCTTCGCCGCGGGAAGTTGGCAGTTCAATAGTCGACGTTCGAGGCTTTGCGGTCGTGATCAAGGCTGTTCTATATAGATCGGAAGATGAGCGCTAGTGCTGTGTAAATGTAAGCTGGATCCGAGGGTTCTACCAAGGGCATTTTAGCAAGATGCGCTAAGACACGATTAACAAGTATGCGACAACTCCTCCGTGTGTCGCGACAATTTGTGACACTCTTAGCGTTTTGAAGAGAATGAGACCCTTCTTCATATGGTGAAATTATTACATAAAAAGCATGGCACGTAGATGCAAAGGATCTAATCATACGGAACAGCAACGCCAAGATTGTCATGAACCATGCCGACATGGGTAACTCGGCCGACTTTTGTTCACTCATACATCACAAGAAAGCAGCGAAGTAGTCCGTTTGAATTGAGTGTTTGGCATTAAAGTAAGTAAACTAGCCATGACCAGTAGCCGACGCATCCAGCGAGCGACACACATAACCACATAACTAGCGTCCTAAGCGCGGTAACCAATAGGTTTGAGGGGTATATCGTTGAACGGTGATTCGATAAGCGAACCACAACATCATGCATCAACACATCGCGATGTAAACCGCTTACATCTTCTCCTGAGCGGCAAGGCTCGCGCGCCTCTCTTGGTTAACGCTCTGGCGCCTCTCGACGTCAGCAGCCTGTTCTTCCGTGCCAAGGTGACCGGTGGGCAACAAGTTGAGCGCGTCTTCGTTCTTGTCCATGGTGCGGTAGGCGAAGTGGAAGGCAATACCAGTGACGAAAGAGATGATGGCTACACTTGCGTAGTTCCAGACGATGTGGGGATCGGCGGTCAGAGGAGTGAAAGCCTGAGCGAGGGCGGCGGAGAAAGCGGTGGTGAAGAGCTGGACGGACTGGACGAGCGACCTCATGTTCTTGGGCGCTTTGGTGAAAGCGTACTCAAGAGTGGTGACGGAAGCGAAGATCTCCGAGATGGCAATGAGAACGTAGACACCGGTGACGGTCCAGACGGTGAAGTCAGCCTTGTAATCAGGGTCCTTGGTCTCGTAGTAGCCGGAGTTCTTGTAGATGAAGTGCTGGAGAACCGCAGCCCAGACCATGGCGAAGGCTCCGAGGATGAAACCCGCGGTAATCTTCTTAATGGGTGTGAAGCGGATACCTCGCTTGCGGAGGAAGGGGTAGACAAGCGAATCCATGATTGGCACCTACAGCTCGATTAGCATTCGTTCCGGGATATTGGAATTTGGGGGGATACTCACGATAATGATGATAGCGATAGGGTCCAAGTTGGAAAGGATGTCGTTGGGAACACCACCGAGCTGCATCGTGGCGCACATCTGGGTTAAGTTGGAGTCCATCTGACGGTATGCAAGCCAGAAAATGGGGACCCAGAAGAAGACGGAGCAGGCAGCGAAACCACGAGCAACCTCATCAACCCAGGCGTCATCGAAGTTGTACCACTTTGGTGCGGCCGAGCCAAGGACGGAAGGCTTGACAGCGGTCCACATAGTTCCATCGTTCCAGTTCCTGTAGGTCTTGACGGGGTTGATGCTCATTCCACGTCCAAGAGCCTTGAAGAGAAGCTTGAAAGCAGGGCCCATGACGTTGCCGCTCGGTGGGCGGAGAATATAGAACTTCTTGCAGAAAATGAGAACGGGAAGAGCGATAATGAACATGATGGTAGGGATCAGGTAAGCGAGCCAGAAACCGACGTATCGCTCGGCGTAGACCATGCTGATTTGACCAACGAGGGCACCGATGTTGATGAAGAAGTAGAACCAGTTGTAAATACGGGTGACAGTGACGGCGGGGTCGACAATGACGCGCTCAGTACCGCGTGTCTCAACGCGCATCTTCTCCTGGGGAACTTGTTCAGCGATAAGAGGGGCAATGTTGGGCTTGAAAGTTCCAGTTCCGAGACCCATGATGATGAGTCCAAGAATAAAAACACCAAGGGCGGTGTTGGAGTTGGCCAGGACGGATGGTGCAGCAGAGGCAACGAGGATCAAGTGACCGATTTCAGCGACCAAGACCGAGTATAGAATGGTCTTGAAACGACCGAGGTAGGTGTCAGCAATCCAGGCTCCGAAAAGAGGGCAGACGTAAACCCAGAAAGCGTTGAATGTAGTCAAGCTGAAAGCAACCTGCTTGCCCATGTTGAGGGCACCGGGTTGAGCGTTCTCATCATCAGGGTCGAGTGCGGCTCCAGTGGGGGTAGTGAGCGGCTTAGCGATGTAGTTGGAGTACACAGCAACAGTTCCGTAGTAACTCATACGCTCGACAAGCTCAACGAAAGCGATCTGAAATCAAGTCAGTGTTTGTCTCACGTGCTCTGTAAATGCGAATGCGTACAGTGAAGATTTTCCATGGGATCCTAGCGGGCACACGGCGAAGCGTGGCGAGCTCCTCGTCGGTGGGAAAGTCATCGGCCTCGTTGAGGTAACTGTCCTGGAGCGTAGCCTTGCCCTCAGAGTGGAGGTAGGCGGGCGCGGAAGTGGTGTGCATCTCGGGGTGCTTGCGCGTAGGGTCGCCAGAGGCATCAATAAGAGCGGGGTCCAAGCCGACAGCTTGCTGTAGGGGTAGTTAGCAAGCATGCAGTACAACTCGAAGAGAGTATGCTCACGACTTCACCGGCGTCACCAACAGGCATGATGGGCGTGCACCTGAGTCGTTTGACAATGAAGGTGGACCGTGGTTGAGTGACAGTGAGAGCAGCCGGGCGATTGTTTATGGGGTGCGGCGAGGAGAAGAGAGACCCTGACGAGTAAAGAGAATGGGGTGGTGGTGCATTTAATTTGAGCACGCGAATCACGGGTCCAGCGTCGTGCTCTACAGCTTCAGGCCCGATAAGGAAGGCGCGCACACCGACACAGGGATAGGCACCGTATCGACTCCTTCACCACCGCGTTGCCATCAGCAAACGCATTGCCACCGCGGCTGTTGTGCCCGGAAAGGCATTCGGCGCGTGCGCGATGGGTGCTGCACGATGCTCTTTTCGCACCGCATCGCCGAGGCGTCCTGGACTACTCAAGCCTCGCCAAGTTGCTAACCACCACTGGCAAGCAGCGAGACAAGAAGAGCTTGCTGGTTCCAAGATAACAATTACCTGTGGCGCCCCAGTCGCATGCCATCGACTAACCTCCTGCCTAAAGCAGGTGGTCGCGGGGTAGCGATAGTCGTCCCCAAGACATGCCCAGAGCCACTAGCAGGCGCCTCCAACGACTCTGGTCTTGGAGGCCCAGCCCATGGCCCATGCATTCCTCAGTCGCGGTATCAGCGACCTTGCTCTTTTCGAGTGCAAACGCGGTTATCTGCGGGTGATGGCGTTGGTGTAGCGTCGATACAAGCGTTCTGGAAGACAATCGCAGCGATTGATTCGGACAAGACGTCGAGGATGCTGGCGGGATGCAGGCCAGACGTTCCCACCAACAACCACGCTGTGGGGCCGCCTGCAGATAGACAAGATAATGGCTCGAAGCTTGGGATACGGACAACGGCTTAGCCAATCGCGCCATAAGGCCAAGACCACCTCCGAACGCTACCATTCGCTCCTCCGAGGGCCATCCTTCCAGGGCTATCGTCGAGGCGGGTCTTCCGAATGTTCTCTGCGTTGCCCAAGACCTGGGCAACGGACCCCGATCGTATTTGCGGCCACGGTAATTGCACGCTCAGGGGACGGACATGCGACACCACAACATCGGGTACCGGCATCAAGAATTTTGAGCGACGAGACAAGCCTCGGCCAGCGGATATGAAGACGCCGTGGCAGCGGTTGAGGCTTCCTGCCCAGACGCGGTATGCAAGGGCTTATTCAAGCCACCCTTTGAGATACGGGCTCAGTGGTGTGCGGTAATCATACGGCGCATTGGAGTGGTGTCGCGCCTATCCTCGACGGACCTGGTCAGATGCGCGGTCCTTTTTCGCAAATAGAGCGCATCGACGGTGATGAGGTTGATAGGGTAAAAGACGGGGATTGGGGGAACTCAAGATCGACATGTCGCCTAAATTAAGCTTGATGAAGACCTCGGCCGGCAAGCGCGACGCCGCACGTGAGCAGGTACTCTACCGTTACGGTTCCGGGTTTATTGAAACGCTTCAGCACGCCAGAACCACGGATAAGCGTCCGCGGTGTTGGCAGTTGGTCCCAAGCTTTTTGCCGTCGCTTCTATGACGCGGCGCGGAGCTTATTGATTTTGCAGACCCTTTCATCATGAACACGCAGCACCCGCACGTTATTGCCAGGGCTCTCTACATCTGTCAAGAGGCGGGCTCAGCCGAGACATAGTCAGCACCGTATACCGACTTCAGGGCTACCTCGGTGCAAAACGGCTAAAGCCTGCTAGGAGGACACGAGGAGTAGTGCATGGTCCGTTTATCGACTACGCTGGTACTCTCCATGTGCTCGGTACCACGCGCCTGTCAGAGCGCTGAGTCTAGCCAAGGCCATGGTGAGGTAACAGAAAGGTTCGCACCTTCCCAACGCTGAGGTAGTAGCTACGGCTGAATCCCGCCCCGTCTGACCCCGCCGCCTGTCGCTTCCCCATCCGTTCTCAAACTCGACAATCTCCACCACCAGCGCCGGACACTCGTATGCGCGTGTTACAGCACATGGCACGCCTAATGACAATTCTTAATTCCCACGTAACGCCAAGTAGATGATCAGACATTGGGATTCCTTACCTCCAATCTTTAGTGGCAGCAACAGCGGCCTGAGCTACCCGCAATGTCTCACAGCAGACATCATTGGCTCACTTGAATGCATACACTAATCGCTTCGACTGTTATCACGCCGGGAGCCAGTACAGGAGAGTACTCTTGAGCGTACGATTGTCGCGCGCAGACTGTACCGAGTGGTGCAAGTATGCGTGAGATCCTCGGCACCAACATGACTAACATCTTTTGGTACAGTTTGCGGATATACGAGTCACACGAGTATCTGCATTGCGCAGTGTTGAAGAACATATACTGCACACGTTGCATGAAGTTTACCGATTGGAGCTTTCTGCACCTCATACGACTACTACAGTCTGCTTTCCATTTCGCATCAGCACCTGTCCACAGCAAAAAGCACCACTCACTCTCAAAACCCTACAACTGTAAGGTCTGAACGTATGTGAATCGTATATAAGATCTAGGATCAGGCAAGGGTTGTATACAACCCTGCACGGACCATCCACGGCCACGTGACAACCATTTCTCAAAACACCCTCCCACTCTCCTGCAATGCCCTCACCCTCTCCGGCGTAACAACACTCAAACTAACCGCCCCGCCAATAACAATCCCAAGCAACAACACCACAAACAACCACAGCACCTCCACCCTCCCATCCCCATCCCTCCTCCCCTTCCCCCCCGGCGCATACGGCCCCACCATCTTCTTCAACGGCACCACCCCGTTCCTCTGCGCATACTCATACCCCCTCTTCATGCCAGGCAACCCGTCGATACTAAGCTGACTCTTCCACGCCCAGTAGTAGTCCATTGATTCTTTCTCGTCGCCGGCTTGGTATTTAGCGTCTTTCTTTCTGAAGTGTTCGTTGAGGATGTCGCGGTGGCCGACGAAGTCGTAGTAGGGGACGCTGAAGCCGCAGGATGTGCCGCATTGGTGCACATTTACCATGATGATGCTGCGGGAGCCGGGGATAGTTTCGACCTTATGCTCAGAAATGAAGGCCTCATATTCGGGAGTGCCATTCTCGATGGCGCGGCCTTCGCCCCATATACGCACGATTTTCGGGGGGCCGGTAAAGGCCATGAACTATGCCAACAGTCAACGCCGTCTCCATTTCCATTTCCCCAAATCCGAAGTGTTTCTCTCCGATCTTCTCTGGGAATTAGGTCGTCTTACCATGACGCAAATCCGGCCATTCCCCGGCTCATGCAGATGCGCATGTGTTTCTACCCCACTCCCGGTAAGATCCATGTACCAAAAGGTTCGTTCATCCAGAACACCAAAGTTCTGGCCTCCTTTCGGTGAGATGTTGATGTGGCCGTCGCCTGAGAGGGGTGCGGTGCCCACCCAGAGCATTTGCTGTTCTTTGATCCATGGGATGAGGCTGGAGGGGATGGTTTCGTAGAAGACGCCCATTTTGGTGATGGGACGAATGTTTTCTTTGGAGGGGATCGGGGGGTATTGTGATAGCAGATGGGTTTTGTTAATGGTGATGATGGTAATGTTGGTGTCGGTAGTGATTGAGCGTCCAGTAACCAAGAAACCCGCAACCCTCAAGTTAAACAACAAGTACCGTCCACAAACGACGCTCTTCCAAAGTGGTGAAACCAAGACTTAAATCTCACCTCCCTATGATTCACAACTTGGACTGTTCAACAATCCTATCGTACGACAGTATCAATCCGCGGCCGGTATCGGCGTTGCGTAAGCCTGCTGGTCTATGCCGCGTTTGAGTTGCCTTTGCACAGATCAAGCTTCTCGTGCTCACTTCAACCTGTTGATCGCAGGGCGTGTCTTGATGTAGATGGCGATGTATGGAGATGCGGGTATCCGAAGGGTTCGGCTAGTGGGTAGTTGCAGCGGGGTATGCGATTGGGGTAAGCCGAGGGTCTTGGTGCTCTGACGTGGCGTGATTGGTTCAGTGGGCAGTATGGGGTAAGTAATGATTAGGGTATCGCTGTAGATAATTTGGATGTGTATATATACGGTGCATATGATGCATACGCGGTATAGCGCTGCAGAGACGCGGCCGTGGTATACCATACTCGAGGGTATGTATGTTTACATGGCACACCCTTCAAAACTCCAATACATCCCCTAACTCTCGACTATATAATCCAATTGAAGCCATCATTTCTTCGGCAGCTCCCGAAACACCTCCTTGAAGATCTTTTTGCTATTGTACAAGTTCACTAACCTCAGACGCTCGTTGTCCAAATGCGCGCTATCACTTGCTTGACCGCACGGCAGATGCGCGGCTGGAGCGTTGAACTCTTTCTCCAAGAATCTGATACTGGGAATAGAGCCGCCTTCCCGGATGTAAAGTGGCTTGCGAGACGCTGTTTCGCTTTGAGTGTGATCAGGCGTCGAGGTGCCCGATAATGGGACAGGCCCTGCGAGAGCCGGATCGGATGAGTTGGCTAGGGTGTTTGATGTCGCTGGGGCAGGCTTGTCTTTAGTTGTAGGTGTTGAAGGCTCGGCTGCCGCTCGTGATAATGGCGAGAAGTAGTCGGGCGGCTGGACTACAGATGTACTCTCTCTTCTCTGTCCAAGAGTTGGACCCCATACTGACATGATGGCGCACTCAAGCGTCTGGAAGATTTCGTTGTTGAAGTCACCGAGCCAAGGCTCAGCTTGGTGGTCGATTGTCACTTTGAGCTGGTTCTTTGAGTCAAGCTCTTCAAACTCAGATTGCATAAAGGACTTCAGACTCTCTGCTACATCGCCCGCTTCTTGGTTAGGCACCAGCCGTATGGAAAGGGCAGCCTTAGCAAGACGAGGGATGATAGTCGAGTTATCAGGACCAGAAGTCTGGAAGCGATGGATGGTGAGCGAAGCCTCTCGCCATCTGCGCATTAGTGACTGTGCTAGCTCTCCTGCGTCGCCAAGATCTGGATTACCACGTAAAAGTGTCTCGGTGATTTCAGTATAGAGCTCCTCCTCATCCTCTGTTAGGGGTAGAATGGGGTCGTAGAAACCTGGTATTTGAACCTTGCCATGACGCGCAGTCAGTCGTGAGAGCAGCATGACAAGATCCTTGAGCGGTTCGTCTAGCAAAGCACTTCCATCCACACCACTGTGCAAGTCAGGATGCTTACTCTCAATCTGCACAGTAGCATGTATGACTCCTCGGAGTCCGTAAGTCAAGCAAGGTACGTGGTCGTCGAGCCAATAGCTGTTGGCCAGAAGAATCCAGTCAACATCACCAATAAGATCTTTCCTGGCTTGTATAGCCTTTTCAAAACCGCGTGAGCCACTCTCCTCTTCACCTTCTATGAGGAAGATAATGTCGGAATCCAGGCGCTGTTCGTTTGCAAGCTCATGAGCTGCGTAGATGGCAGCCATAATCGGGCCTTTGTTGTCAGACGTCCCGCGACCATATAAATAGCCTCCCTCCCCCGTCAGTTCGAAGGGATCGTGTTTCCACTTGCGGTGTTCGTTTTCCGCAGGGATAACATCGTAGTGTCCGTAGAACAGAATTTTCTTACGTGAGGCCGCTGTAGCCGGGTTGCCGCGGAATTTCGCAAACACAATTGGGTTGTACTCGCTTGTGTTGATCATCTCGGTAACAGCGCCAAAATTCTGGAAGACGGAACGCAAGTAAGACGCCCCTCTACGACAGTCAGCGCGATATTTGGGCAGCGACGATACGGTCCGAAAAGAAACGAACTGTCTCAATGACTCCACCATGAGATCTGCACAACGCATTAGTTGGGCAAATCAAAGTTTCGGATGTGTACAAACCGTTGTTACTTCTGCGTGAGACGGCGTTGGGCTCCGCACAATCTCTGACTTCCCAGATAACCACAGTATTGTCATTGCCGCCGGTAACGAGGGTTGGCTTATCGTTGTATCTGGTAAACGCGGAAGCGAGGATTAGGCCGTCGTGTGCCTTGAAGGACGTGATGGTTTCGTAGTGCTCGTTGAATTTCTATCTTCATTAGTCATTGTTCTTACAAAGCAGTAAAGGAGACTCACCTGCATGACGCCTGTTTTACCACCAGCGTACAGAACGCCGGCACCCAATGTTAGAGTATGAACGTCGCCGGTGGTCGCTTTCAGACTTCGCACTAGTTGCCTGGTTTCGAGATCCCACACGTTGACCTCGCCGTCGAATCGCCCACTGTACAGGAAGGAGCCCTCTCTGGCGAGTGAGAGTATAGATTCACCTTCCTCCCTCCCATCTTCCAATGTGTAAAGGCTTGTGATGGCACCGCGCTGCGTAGGATCTATGCGCCACAGCAAGATACGCCCGTCTCCTCCACCTGAGACTAGAATCTCCTCGGATGGCGCCTCCGGTATTATCCCGCTGCCCAGGAGCATACAATGTACGTATCCGTAGTGGGCGAATTGGCAGATGTCATGGCTGTCGATTTGCAGTTCTTGCCCCCCTACTGCGTCGCGTGGTCTCGTGTCTGCCCCGCTGGGCTTCGGGGTCTGCGCGCCGCCAGGTCCAAGCGAGTCGAAGAATTTGTTCTTTCGCTCTGCAGGGTGCGATGACAGACTCGGGGTCGGTCTAGTGTCTTTCTCCTTCAGATCATACCACTGCTACTGTCAGCCCACGCGCATTCTATTTGGTCTTCGTTCCTACTTGTATGCTTGTGTTCTGGGCTCCGAGGTAGACGGTACGATGTTGGGAAGAGTATGCGACGCAGAAGATGTCCCCGATGTCGTATGGCGACCAGAGAGCGTACAGGTGTCTGAAGGTCGACGTGCACCAGACCTAACAACTCAGCATACACCCACGATGAACGTTCCAGACTCTCTCACATTGACGATCGGATCTGCTGCGCTTGAGAACAGCCACTTGCGGTCATGCGACAGACACAAGCCGAGTACACTGCCCTTGTGTGCATGTATGACGCTGCGTCGCTCGTAGGTATCGAGGCTGAACACCTGCACGTCATGAGCCTGGGACCTCTGGAGCTCGCTAAGACACGTACTAGGATCTCCCCTCCCTGAGTACCGGCGAAGATGTACTGTGATGACACTGCTAACGCGAGGATCGATTTGTCGTGCTTCATTCGATGCGCGAGGGCAGGCGTTCGATTGACATCTGGGCCAGACTTCTCTGCGCCCTGCGTCTCCGGGATGCCGTCACTATGCGGAGGCGCTGCTGCTGGCATGGTCAGCCCGGCTTGGTGTTGTATCTCTGGAGTGAGTGCATGGTCGCGTGTAAAGGTTTCGCGACATGGTGGGAGCGATGACGGCACCTTCAGGGTCCAGGGCCAAAAGCGCCGGCTGCGGGGCCCTGATGCATCACCGATGGACGCAGCAACTCGACTAGACGTACCTCTTAGTCCTACACCTAGAGATGTCTTCACTTCCTGCGATGTAAGCGACGCTGACAAGATGCACATGGTCCCTCTCTCTGCTGAGCTACAGCCTGCGAGGAGATGGAATGGAAAGATGACAGAAGAAGAAAGTCCCGCGCTGTGCGATAGCGGTGCCTCCCTTACCGTGCTCGAAAGAGGCAGCCGTTGATCGGCTTCATCTACCTCGTTCAGCGTAATATCTGAGGACGTTTCGTCGTCGCTCGAGCCTTGCTGCTCGCACTGAGTAACAAGCTCACCGCTCCTACATGGCGAGCGATCTCGCTGCAATGACGCCATATCTCAAGTTGGGAGTGTGCTTCACAGTAAGCTGAGGTCACGGAATAGCATCGCTGCTTGCTTTTTCTCGATGGCCATATCAGCATATCTCACAGCAAGCGCAGAGTGGTGCCAACATATGTGCACCAGCGTGCAGTCGACGTATGCACGTATGGTACACTTGGCGGCGCGCTGTCAATCATGCAGTCGCTCCCTAGTCTGCGAGCTCTGAATGATAGATAGTTCACCGTTCGCGGGCCCGAATACGTGGTCGCACCGTAGAGAGCGGCTTCCGACGTTGAGCTACCAATTGTAAATGACGCGGTTGGGGTGGCCCGCCTCGAGTCGCTCCAGCTGCTAAGGAGACTTAGGACAGCCTCACGGGAACATGCATATCAGGGCGCGGGAGGCTGGAGGCTGCCGCATGCAGGTCGAAGAGATAGAGTGATGATCGTCGGTGTGCATTCTGGAACACTCTGCCGCCAAGTTTGAGGATTGCGAAGCGCGGCCGAAGATTGGACAGGATGGGAAGTCGGCAAGCAAAGATGCCTGTGTAGAGTGTAAATGCCACCAGTAGCCTTGATCGGCTGCGGTTAATGAATCGTTGATAATGCCTCACCAGCACCACCAGGGAGTGCCTTCCTGTCTGCGTTGAAAACGTGGGAAAAGTGGGTAGAGAAAAAGGAGCGTGGGGCCCAACCAAACTACAGCCACACTGATGGCGATGACCAAGACTGTCAAACCTCCGACAGCCACGAAATGACGCAGCTTGCGTAATGTGTTCAGATTTTGAACATTCTCAGCTCGACGTTGACAGTCTTTTGGAGTCTCGGCCACGATGATAGAGCGCACCGCCACAGACGCCACAGCAGCACCGCCACGGCTCGCGCGGTAAGGGCAACCTTCCCAGCTGAAGGCTACCAGAGGCTGAACCTAGAGCCGATCATGCCAACTGGACAATGATTGACAATCTCGATTCCAGCCGGCTCCAGATTGGGGTTTGGGCAGCAACAGTCGGGTTACGCCTGCCAGGGCCTGCATCGTTGCATCAGCACGCGTGAGAACTGAGGCTGCCGAAAATTAGTTGTCCAGTCGCTGTCACGACACGTTCACGATGGCTGCAGTAATCAAGCAAGACGGCCATCCGCACCAATGGCAGGCGAAGCCGGGGCCTCAGTGCTGCAGCGTCTCGCTGCCCGCATAGCCGGCGCCAGGGAAGCGCCTCCAGTTACATGGCGACACGCGCTGCGACTATGCCAGGACTGCACTGGTTGAGTCTTCACGCCGCAGCCCACGAACCAGGGCGAGACGTCACAGACAAGCGATGCGAAGTATGCGGGCAGTCTCGTGAATGGCTTTGCTGCAGGTCGCTTCGGCCACTCTGGGCGCTCCCCGCTCTCCACCACCATCATGGGCTGCGTGTCGCGGTCGGTAGAAATCGCCTCATTCCGCGCGTAGTGTTCCGACAATAGCGCCGTCAGGAGTGACTCTGAAATTCCTTATAGTCGCAGCCTGGCCGCGACGACTTGGTGATCCAGGTGGGACCTTGTGGAGTTGCGCCAGCTGCCGTTTCCGCGAGCACTGACTGATACATGCTCACCGCCGCCTTTTAGGCCCAGGACACAAGTACCATTCTCACCGCAACGCAGCCTCAAGGTCACACAAAACCCCTCTTGCCGCGCGCTGTGCAGCTGCTGCAGGAACACAACGCCCTAAGACGTCACCATGGCCGTCGGACTCGGAGAGACTATCACTGTCATCAACAAGAGCGGAAAGGTCGTGAGCAGTGTGAGTGCCCGATAAGCTCGCTAGCCCCCCGATAAGCCCCGTACTCGTACTGACGACCCGCCCAGAGCAAGCACATTGTCAACGTCTTCAAGGAGGCCAAGGCCGCCTACCGCGAGCGCAAGGCGGAGATCAAGGCGGAGCGCGATGCCGCCGTGAAGGAGAAGGAGCTCGCCAAGGGCGTCAAGGCCATCCGCCTGGATGACGACGACGCCCGCTCCCAGGTCTCGCATCGCTCCAAGGCGTCCAAAGCCCACACACATCGCTCCAAGGCGCACCATGACCGGCCCGCCATGGAGCGCGGCTACAGCGACAGCTTCTATGCCAACGACAGCCCGCGGAGCAGCAAACACCGCTTTGAAGCCGACCTCGCCGGCGACGCACACAACAAGGAGATTGCGAGGAGGAATTCCGACCAGGCCGTCCAGCGCTCATCGCAAAGCAGCAAGTCGCGATCCAAGTCAGTCGACATGGACCTTTGCTACGGCGACGTGCCCCCGCCCCTGCCCGACAAGAAGTACAACGACGTCGAGCTGAAAGAGAAGGCTTCCAAGATCGAGTTGCTCTTGGACGAGGCCAACTGCTTACAACACACGGCCACAGCCATGATCGAGAACCTGCAGAAGAACCCCGAAGCGCTTGCCGCTGTATCACTCACACTCGCCGAGATCAGTGCTATCGTCGGCAAGATGGGACCTGGTGTCCTTATGACGCTCAAGGGCAGCTTCCCCGCAGTTGCAGCTCTGCTCCTCAGCCCCCAGTTCATGATCGCTGGAGGTGTCGCTGTTGGTGTCACCATCGTCGCACTCGGTGGATACAAGATCATCAAGAAGATGCAAGTCCAGAAGGAAGTCGACGCACCCCTGCCCGAGCCGCAAATGGCGATACCCATGCGTGCCGCTACCATGCCCATCGAAGACTCCAACAACCAGCTCGACGAGCTCGAGCCCCAGGAGCTCAGCCGTGTAGAGATGTGGCGCCGCGGCATCGCAGACGTCGAGGCCAACAGCTCCGGCACCAGCGTTGATGGCGAATTCATCACACCCGAAGCCTCCCGTACCCTTTGCGCCGCCGGCGTACTTGACGAAGACGACCTCAAATCTCGCCGCAGCACCCGATCCAAGAAGCACAGCAGCGAATCAAAACACAAGCACCACCGCGCACCAAAGTCTGAAGTCAGCGTCAAGACCAGCAAGACCTCCGACTCAAAACGTCCCTCCAGCAAGGTTGCCTCAAGTAAAGTCGCTTCAAGCAAAGTCGCCTCCAGCAAATCCGGCAAGGAGAGCAGCAAAGAAAGCAGCAAAGAAAGTAGCAAGACTAAGAAGAAGGAGAAAGAACCTTCTGGCCTCAAGATGTTGTTCCGCGCCCACACCGTCGCCGTCTAATCCCCCACGGCCCCCAACCAAATCTCCTCTATCATAGCGTTTGGCGTTTCCTTCGTCCTCATCATCCTTTATCATCGTACATCAGCATTTAGCGTTGCTTTGCTTCCTCACGTTTATACCATCTAGACGACATTACATGGGCATATCAAGATCCCGTCGTTGGCCGCTTGCTTGCTTGCTTTGGAGTCTTCTGGGTTCGTTCGGCGCAGGGGCGAACATTATGGGTCATGACTATCGCGAGTACTACGAAGATCCTTTTCATGCTGCTTTCATGTAACGCATACGTATCAATTACACATTTACGGACTCGAGAACGAATTAATTATGTTAACAGTTATTCCTTACAGTTACTCCCGTTCCTGCCGCTCTTACACCTATCCCCTTCATCGATCCCACCTCGATCATCACGCACATCCTCTTAAACCTCTCTCCTCCCTATTCCGCACTTCCAAAACTCGCCCTGAGTACTATCAGACCAACATCTACCCCTTCCTCATCCAAAGATCTAGCCTCTCCCCTGTCCCTCTCTTCCCTTCATATGAGACACTCACCGATCCCGTCGACCCAAAACATCGCGCCTTTGTCTTTTACAATGCCCATTGAACATGCCCACCCATGCATTAAGCCCGTGCTCGAGCGCGCAATGAGCAACGGAGACCGCGTTGGCAGCAAACCAACATAAGCAAGCAACGACAATTATATACATAAGAAGATCATCAACGGAAAAGCAAGGACTCGACAGAAGAGAAAGACTACGTAAAGGAATCTATAAACAAAAATCGTAGTACATAGTAGGAACGGGAAGGCGTATCATAAACTATCAAGACATCTGCTGTGACGGCCGCTCGATGTCGCTGTACTGATAAGGCCATGCCAACCAGCATAGCGGTATCATGTCTTCATAACTGCAAAATCTGCAGCTCAATTAGAGATTATCTCCTAGAGTCTCAAGCTCTTATTTGGATTCGCCATCAGGTGTCGCCCCAGCATCAGTATTGACTTCATCGTCAGCGCCGGTTCCGGTCTTTTGTCGCTTTCGTGCTGGCTTGAGAGGCGTAGTTGAGTCAGCGAGATGGGAATCGTCAGCCTTGCGCTTCATCTACGATGGAGTGAGAACACTCAAGCCAGGAGGAGGTGGCAAGACCCTATACTGATGAGATGTTGTCCGTATCTGTTGAGGTGCAGCATTGGTAGTGTCAGTAGGATGGGGTAAATCCCCATTCTGCTGGGGCACTGGAGGCATTTGTGGAGGCGCAGTGTTCGTGGTATAAGTAGGAGGTAGCAGGACTCTATTCTACTGAGGCACTGTCGGCGTCTGCTGAGGCGCAGCGTTGGTAGTGCCGATTTCAGGTGTGTGTAGCGACTCGGTATAGCTGGGATCCATCCCTCTAAGCCGGGTATACGGACCATAATCGCTTGTAGAGCGCTCTTCGGGATCAAGCATCCTGATATCTTGCCACTTGCGGTAGATATCTCGGGTGCGGATTTTGCTCTCTGGCTCTAGGGGGAAATGCTTTTGTATTCGTGCATCTAAGTTCATGGTGAGAACCATCGAGAACCTGATCAGAGTCTTGCGCTTGGGGTTGTATGAATCATTTCGGTTGACCACTGCAACGCAATCGAAAGGTGTCCATGGATGGCTGTTAGGAGTGGGTCTGTCCATTGACATCTTTACGTCAGAGTCCGAGTTCATCGCCCGCTGTTGCTTGATCCTTGCTTTGTATTGCATTCGACGATCTTCACAGCGGCCGAAGCTGTGGATACGATGTGATGTGTACCGATTCTGCTTATGTAAGATCACCGAGTAACAAAGACGGTAAAACGACAAAGGCAAACCTATGCCATTGACTTCCATGTCTTTGTCATTGGAGCAATCTCAATGCTCAGTCATGGAAGACTCCTCATCCACGCAGTTCCCAAAGTAATGCCAAACAACGACACTCGCACTGTTATGCACTCAAGAACCGATCCGCAGATACCCTGCAGTAACGACTGATCACTCGTCCAGAGTCAAATTTCATGGCCAACACTGGAAAGTTCCACAGGAAAAGATGCTTTCGAGACTTCGCCGACGATGTTATTCTCCAAAGCCCTATGCATTTGACGGGGCGACCATATAAGTTTCTTCGCCTCACGGAAGACTCTGCACCCTATTCACAGGCCACACCTGGGTGGAAAAAGGTCAGACCTGCTTCGAACTGGCTTTGGCTTTTTCCTGAGATTCACCCGCTGGTCAGTGAAAGAAAATACGATAAAAACTGCCGAGCTCGGGGAGGAGAGCAATTATTCAAGCTCGTACCGCAGATACATCCGCAGTACATAGCCCCTGCCAAGAACGGTAGCAGGCCGGTCGGACATTCACCAGGCGCTTCTTCGCCTGATCATTCAAAATCGCAGAATGACCATCTATTACACGGAGCGATCTCCCAGTCTCCCACCCAGCGACGATATTCGGACTCGAGACATGCAGACGATTCTGTACCGTTCCACCCGGTCCGGTGGTGGCCAGATGCTATAAAGGAGAACTTCTATGAGGAAAGTGGCTTGCTACTGATTGGTAATGGCTTCGATAGTTGTGCAGGCATCGTGCCGACGTGCGAGATGTTCCATGCCATCGTACAAGCTGGGTCGGCCCGTCGTCGTGATTTCGATGCATTGTGCGCGTGGCGTAACCGCGAGCTTGATACCATTGAGGTGGAGTATGCCAAGATACTGGACGACGACAAAAAGTGTGGAGAGGAGGCGAAAGAGCTAGACAGGTTGACTTCAAACAACTACGGTGAGTATGACGAAGACACCTTCGAGTGGGCCATGAAGCGTCGCTCGGAAGTCATCCTACGTACCCGAACAAACGATGCGCAGAAAGTAAGGCTCCAAGAACAGCAGAATGATGTCTACGCTCGGCATGAAGCAGTAGAAACGAGGACGAGAGACGCAGAGCATCCGCTATAGGGTTTGCTGGACGAAATGCTTGTAAAGATAGGCGTTCTGCCTGGCATCGATGACGCCGACAAGAATCCGCGGGTCCAAATTGTGAGCGCAAAAGGACCCGCGGACGGTTCTAGCTTGAATTGGTCTGAGGATAATTGGAACGATGAGATACCCGGGGAGTGGAAACCCGCGCCAATCATGGACAAAGGTAGTGAAATATTTGGACCTCTGGAACAAGAAGAACCAGAGAGTACCTGGAATAACGCATGGCAGGACTATCCTCGCAATGACCACCTGCTGGCCTTGAAGGATGCACTCTACAAAACGGCGGAAGAGGCAACACGCGTTGAGCTGGAGTTCAACAATGGTCGTGAGCAATATGACCGGGAATTGAGGACTTTCATGTTTCACCAGAGAGGGAAACGTGAAAATGCAAGTGTGAGGTCGCTTCAGTTAGAAGAAGAATTTGGTCCGATATGGCTAGAAAAATGCCGCAAGATTTTTGCAAAGATGCAGGAAGCTGACAGAGGCTATGCGCAGGCGGATTGCGATCTTTCGGATGCAAATCGGCATGATCGCGAGGTTCGAAGGAGGGAGTCGAAACCAGAGCTGGCCCCTCCGGCTCAGACAAAGGCAATTGCGACGTGGAGTTTTGGAGAGAGGATGTCCTCTCGTAAGCGGCGCTGGATCGACGGGTGGCTTGAAGATGTGTATATGGAACCGCGTGACGAGGATCGCCAAAAATCTGGAGAAGAATCGGCTCAGCCCATTGCGGTTCCTATGGATGAGGCGAGCAGATCATTGCGCTCCGAGGATGTTCCGATGGCCACAGGTCACCAACGTCGGAGAATCGACAGATATGTACTTCGAAGCCAGGATTTGCGTCAAGACACGTCAAATAGTGCTTTACAACAGCTAAATCTTGATTGGGCACGGAAGGTTGGTGAATGGATGTGAGTACAGATTCACTGGTCATACTGGCGGCGATCGGTAGACTACCATACGTAGATGCGTTGAAAAAAATGCTTAAAGTGAGCAGTAAGGAGGCGAAGAGGAAGATTAGTAGTGTAGAATCAGGAGCATTGAGTGCATTCTTCCTACAATGGAACGCGGAAATGACGATGACGTAATGATGAAATCCGAGACCCTGAATCCCTTCTTGGTGCGTTTCGACTCCAGCACCGACCGACCCTTCCCCAAGACTTCGTGCATCAGCGACTGCGGCCTGTAACCATGACTGCTTTCAGATCTTTTTATCAAACCGGTTGTCGATAGCACTGACGCTCACGAAGCGAAGAGGCAAGACTTTCTCAGGGGCTACAAAACAGCCCATTACCCAGACTTTGTCTTCTCGTCAACCACTTCCGGCGCCTCATGCTCGCCCGAATCGGTTGGTTCGTGCCTCACAGCCATTGCCGTCTTTCGGTCAAGCTACATGTATCGTCAGTACACGCCAAAACTTTGAGTCGCCGACAATACTCACCCATCTGACCACAAACGCCCATCCAATGAAAGCGAAGACCACCACGATCATGGTGATGCTTCCCTTCTTCCAGTATGGCACATCAGTCGCTGGGTACATGACGATACCCCACCATGTATACAGGATCAAGCCACCCATGGCCATTGTATACACGGTCACACCCCTCACGGCATCGTCACCCGTTCTCTGGCAGATTGTTGTGGCCCATCCGTACATGATAGGATTCACGATAAAACTTGTGCCGCTAAGGTAATGCGCTGTGAAGATTCCTGCATCTGGAAGGTTTCGCACGAGCAGAAGCGACGCAGTGATTAGCTGCATCGCTCCGCTGAAGATGATCATGGGTAGACGGTGACCTGTGTGGTCAATAAAGGCTCCGCCCAGGATTTGGGAGACGATCGCCACAGCTTGAATGCCAAGAGGGTACGTGTTTATAGCGGTCTGGGAGAAGCGAGACTTGTTATGCTTGAGCCAGAGGAGAAACATGCCCTGAAAGGCGAACGCTTCAAGCATGGCACAGACGACCGAGAAGGTCGTGAGAATATAACTGCAGAGGAGTCAGTATGACTCCCTGGTTTCGACTAACACGCCAGGTGTCTACTCACATAGTAGGCGTTAGGAGAACACGCTTCGCAAGGCTCTTGAACTCGATGTTGTGGGTGTCTGCTGTCTTAGGTGGTAGACGACTCATCGCAAGCTGTCTTTCCGCCTGAGTGATGTAGGAGACTCTGGTCGATTCTGGAAGATCCGGGAATGTGAACTAGGGTTACTATCAGTCCTCAGGCTCGGGTACAAGCACCGACATAACTTACGAATCCGAAGAGACCAACTGGGATTCCCATAAGACCGTCTGAACCACATGTATCAGCAACGCGCGCGCAACATTCCTCGAGATCGCTCGCGTACCAATGATAAAAACCCATTGCCAGCCTTTCAAGCCGCCTTTACCTTCCATCGTCTGGTGCATTGCCGTCATCATGAGACCAGCGCACATACTTCCGATTTGTCCGACCGCAGTAAAGATAGCAGCCCGTTTGGCTATCTCGGAAGGCTTGCTGCGGGTATCATTAGCCTCTTCCCATAAAAAGGAATGCGATCGACTTACTACCATGAACCCATCACATACACGCTACCACTATACAAGCTGGCCTCGATCAAACCCTGGAAGAAGCGGACTGCGCAAAGCTGGTGGTAATTCTTGCATCCAGCTGAACACATGGTCAGGAGGGACCAGAGGATAAGGGTGAATGGAAGCCATATGCTAGGGCGAACTTTCTGGATGATGAGGCCATGAGGTATCTGGCCAACAACGAGACTGTGGAGCTGTGAGCTAGGACGCTATGACTGGCCAGTACACTGAACGGACCCAGCAGTGAAGATGGACAGCAGAATGCTATATTCGTTGCCTTTGAGGCCTATGTCTTCGCGGAGACCAGCAACATAGGCATTGGCGAAAGCCTGGCGGTCCAGGTAGTTGAAGAAGTAGGCTGCGCAGCAAAACACCTATCCGACGGAGTCAGACATCGTAAACAGTCGGGTTTGGCGACAGAACTAACCATTATAAAGATGTCTAGTCACATGATAGTTAGCATGGTTGCACCACGGTGATGAAGATGCCTATACCGAGCTTCACAACGAGCTTCCTCTCCAAAGCTTTCTTCGCGTCGCCAGAATCACTGGCCCTGAGCCCTGCATACTCGCATTAGCATCCAAACAGCCGTACAACTCTGCGACCCTATGATTCTCACATCCTAAGGCACCCATCTTCGGTCGTGTACGTCAGTGGATCAGATAAAGCGATGATTATCAGATTGATTAGTCGCAGTACCAATCGCCCAGTTTTAATCCATCTGATAGCACCCGCGTGGGGCCAAGGCCTGGCCTCGGAGCCGGCGCATTGGCATGGAAGATTCTTCGCGCTTGGTGATCGTCGACCGAGCATCGGCCCGTTGTTAGGGTGAAATAGGGCCTTGGCTTCGTGTCGAGAGCGGAAGTTGTACCCAGAACATCACAATAGTCCTTTGATCTGCTGATTTCCAGTCATGATCCATGCTTACCGTTCCCGTTGAGTCCTTGGTTTTTGGTGAAAGCGGTCACTCCTCCATGGTGGTGGTAGAGCTTTGCCTTTATGTTACGTTCTCCGCGGGATGTGGACTGCTTAATTCGCGCGAGCATCCCCAAGCTATTCGTCGCGTGTTTTTGGCCCAGCTGGTTGGTAGCTGGGTCTGGATTCAGTACGACGTGCATGCGGTTAAATAGAATGGCCGCGGTATGCGCGACACGGAAGGCATCACTCACTTTAGCCCGCTTCGCATTCGGAGGACTAGAGAAGCTGAAGATTATTACAGCACAAAACAGCAGTTCTGTGTGAGCCCATTCCTAGTCATGACCGGTTCCAACCGTGGATCAAACGCGGTTGCTCATCTCGTGTCCTGAGCGGAAGTCGTTACGTTTCTTGATGACAGCAGAACGCCGCAGACACTCAATACCATGTAAGCGATCGTTGTGTGTCTATTGCAAGACCAGGCTTAGTTCCGCGAACGCTCAGTCAGAAACAGCCTCATATCAGCCCCTTTCTCATCGGACCACATCATGGTGCTCCTCTACTTAACACCCCCATTTCTCCACAGGTCTTCAACTCTCGGGAAGCTGGCCGCATGTGCGTATTGCCATGTGGGCCCTTTAACGTCCGGTTGTGACCCCTGAGCTTACCGTCGCCGGCCGTCTTATTGGTAACAGTATCATTGATCGAGAACTTTTGCTGTCCAGCGTCTCGGTTTAAGCGATGCTCTGGCTCGGTAGGCATCTCGTGCTCAGTTGGCGCGGCGCCGGTAGCGGGCGGTGGCGGAGGTTTGAATACGCCATAGACGTTGACGTTCTGCTGCCCAGATCCGCTGTTGATGTTCTGGTTGTAGATTAGTGCGCTGCTCGTGAGAAAGCTGGTGGCAGATGGATTTTCAATCGACTGAGAATGGCCATGGCCATGGCCATGGGCACCGCTGCGGGAGTTATGGACGGCGTTTTCCTCTCTAATGTAATGGAAACGACCGGATTGATCAGAAGCATCGAATTTCTGGACTATCTTCACAGAAGATGACAGGGTGATCGGACAGCTTCATGCTGTTGGCGCTTTGATGTATTGGGGGCTGGTGCTGTAGAACTTGATCGCTTCCCGCCGCTTCTCAGAACCATCTCTTTGCCATCGGCTTCGTTCTCCCAATTTGGCGATATGTCGAACGGCCGAAGGCCAAACAACCTTCGAGCGTCTTGAGCGAGGCCCAACATGATGTCACGAACTTCCCGAGACTCTTTCCAAGCTTCCTTCTCGACATCCTGGGTAAGATTGTTTGCATACGAGATCTCTATCTGTGTTGGTAGTCGGAGTTCTCTACAGACCTTGTCCATCAAAGAGTGTAGATAACCTTGATTACAGGTGGGTTGCTTGGTCGTTGTACCCATCGGAGGCGTCATGTTTGATGTAGTTGTGATCTGAAGCTAGGCTGTGTATCGAGTTAGAAACCGGTTGATTAATTGCGGTTGCAAAGTTAGTGGAAGCGACCAGAGAGATCTTTGTCCTCCGTAGGCGGGGCGTGAAATGCGAAGTAAGAGGTTTCACTTTATAAAATTCCCCTATTGTTTGTTCATCGAGCAATTTCCTTGTATTCATGTAGATCCATATGCGCTTGTTAAGATCGTTTGACCAGGTAGTTTAGGATGGTAAAGACTGAGTTGGCGTACCCCATGTTTGGCGCATATCTAATGACATGTCTTGACAGCGTTCGCCACACAGGTTTATCCATTGTTGCGATTCCCAGTCTTGCTTTGAACAAGAGATTCTTCTTTAAGAGCTAGTGATTTATGATACTAGAAAGCGTTACTGGTACTCTCTCGGCTAATCGATGGCCAGGTATCCTGTTGATGTCAGGCTGCTCCTGCGTTGTGGGCAAGGCAAGTAGCATGGAGTAGACACGACGCTCAAGTCGCTATTAACTGTGTAAGACTACCACTCGAATGCCCTAGTCTTATTGGTTATTATCTGTTGACATCTCGTCGTTCTTGGAGAGATATCGCAATCGGTGATAGTAAATTGATGAACGGAGATGGAAGAGAGGATGGAATGATGCCTGGACCTTGGTAGGATAGCTCCGGAGATTGCGCGGATATAAGTACCCCAGCATATGCACTCAACAGTACCGCAGCATTTACAATCATAATCTGAACTGCTTGGAATGTCAAGTATGTACAATAGCCTGGCATTTCCATCAGTCCAGCTCTTTTTGTCTCGTACTTAGAAAGCGGATTGCAGCCGCCCCTGCTGCAATATCACCGGCTTCCCCAAACCGTGCATTCCTCGCGACGTCATCCCCCTTCTCCACCTCCGCACCCGCAGATCCCCCCATCTTACCCCAGACGCGCATTTCTACGCGACCATGTAACGCCACCAATAGCTCGACAAGGCTTTCAACGGCTCCATTGCATCTTGATCATTCGCCAGAACCTCCTAGGTACCCTTGCCCCGCAATTACTCCGTCAATTATACACGCAGGCAGCTCATGATCACGGCGGTTTTGCCGAGTGAGCATCGTTCGTGACGTTTGGATCACCACTCGCGTGCTGCGTGTGTTCGGGTGTTTTGATCCGGCTAGCGAGCAGTGAGGTATGAATACGTTTGTATAGAAACATGGGGTAAACCCACATGGCACTGCAGTCTTCCTTTGCGGATCTCATCGCCCCCATCGTGAGTATCGCATCTCTTTACAGAGCGAGATAACAAGACCCCGTCCACGATGTTTCACGCACCGCACTTCAACTGGTACGGCCGTGGCTTCAAACTTCGCGCCGCTATAACAATAGCCTGCCAACTCGCTTTCGTCCTCTTCGGCTACGACCAAGGCGTCTTCAGCGGCATCGTCGGCAACGAAAACTTTCTAAATACTTTCGATCACCCCTCCCCCGGTCTCGAAGGCATTATCGTGTCGATATACAATCTCGGTTGTTTCACAGGATGTATTCTCAGCTTCATGTTTTGCGAGAAGACAGGAAGGAGGCTGGCTATGTGGATTGCTATGGTTTGGATCATCGTAGGTACTAAATGGGGTGGTGTGGGGTGCAAGGCTGATGATGATGATGGCAGGTCGGTGGCGCACTGCAAGCGAGCGCGTATTCAGTGCCGCATATGATGGTCGCAAGGTTCTTGACGGGAATTGGTACTGGCATCGAGACGTCGACTGTGCCTATGTACCAGTCTGAGTTGTGTGAGGCGAGCAAGCGCGGCCGTCTCGTCGCATCGGAACCACTCTTCGTCGGCGTGGGGATCGAGCTGGCGTACTGGTTCGACTATGGGATGTCTTTCACGGAAGGATCGATCGCGTGGCGTTTACCGATTGCATGCCAGGTCATCTTCGCAATTATCGTCATTGTGCTTGTTTTCGGCCTTCCGGAATCCCCCAGATACCTGTATGCGCATGGTCGCCACGAAGAAGCGCTCCAGATACTTTGCGATGTCTACGATGGTACGCCTGATGATCCGAAGATTGAGAAGGAGAACAGAGAAGTGCTCGAGGCTCTACAGGTCGAGCGAGAGCATGGAGAGTACAAGTGGTCACAACTACTCAAGAAAGATCGCGTGCAGACCGGACGTCGTGTATTGCTTGCCTACGGCGCGCAGTTCATGAACCAGATGGGTGGCATCAATCTGGTAAGAATACAGATGCGAACTTCGCCAGACATATCCGCTGACTGTGTTCACCAACATTGTAGGTTGTCTACTACATCACCTCAGTCCTAGAAGACAACGTCGGCCTCGACAGAAACCTCTCCTTACTCATGGGAGGCGTCATCAACCTCATGTTCCCCATCGGCTCTCTCGTCCCAACCTTCACATTGGACCGCACCGGGCGCCGTAAGCCCATGATGTGGGGTTCTTTGGGGCTCGGATTGTCCATGATGATGATAGCCATCCTCTTGAGCTTCCGATCAGAAGGGGGTGACGTGGCGCAAGCCACTGCGTCTGCTAGTGTCGCTTTCTTCTTCACTGTAAGCAGAATGTCGGTCGCATTGGAAGGCAGAAGCTAACGAATTCCAGTACATGTTGGCGTTTGGTATGACGATGAACTGCATTCCATGGGTGTATGTACCCGAAATCCTCCCACTGCACGTGCGAGCGAAAGGTACAGCTGTCGGTATCTCGGCGAATTGGATCTGGAACTTTTTCGTTGTTATGATTACGCCTACGCTTCTCGACAGCTTGGCGTGGAAGGGTTACCTGATCTTCATGGCGCTCAACTTTGCCTTCATACCGCTGATTGTACGTATTGGCAAGAATAAGATAACCTTCATCTACTAATTTGTTCTGCAGTACTTCTGCTATCCCGAGACAGCCAATCTGACACTGGAAGAAGTCGATTGGCTGTTCTACGAGGGCAACGTCGTAAAGCGAAGCCGACGTGTTGCGAAGGAGGGATGGGAACAGGCGGTTGGCACCGATCCCGCGATTATTATAGAGACGGGTAGTGTGTCCAGCGGTAATAAAGCCGGACATACGGCAGAGAAGACGGAGCATGCGAACCACTAGTCTTCAACATGGGTATCGCAGCCTTACTGCCAGTAGTCATACCTACCTGTGATTAGTCCAATGGACCAATAACCGTGACAAGCGGCTACTGTGACTGCGAAGAAGCGACTGGAGACAAACAAACGAGAAAGTGAAGCTGGAACCAAGGAAAGGTGATATAGTCTATATGCTGTTCGAACCTACATATCGTACAAGGCGGTGACGTATACTACAATGACTTCTCGGCAACCTTGGCAGCCTCGAGTCGTGACCTCATATGAGGAGCAGTGAGGGGTCCTGAGCTCTGCGGCTTCATGATCTGGCGAAGAACAGCGCGGCGTGGCATGGTAATTCTGCTGCACAGAACGACCGCTCCAGTCAACAAGGCAAGAGCGCCGGCTTGATGTGCGGAAGCCAACCACGTAGGAACCATGTATATCAGCGTGCTGATGCCGAGGGTGACCTGGAGAGTGACGAGGTGAACCATGCCTTGGACGCCCTTGTGCGCATCCTTGGTGAGCTTAGTTCGCACACCCTTGCCAAAGCGAGTGTATGCGAAAAGACTCATGATGGCAGTGAAAGTCGTTGTTGCGAGCATGCGGTGGTCAAGCTGAACGAGAGACGGGTTCTCGAGCATGTTGCGCCACCACAGGTCTGACTGGTCCGGGACGTGGCTGTAGAAGGGATCGAAAAGCTCCTTTCTGGGTGGAGTGAGACCCATACCCATCCACGGAAACTCGTTGTAGATGAGACCGGCATCGAGACCAGCGACAAGGGCACCTGACATGGCAGTAGTGAAGACGAGAAGAGTAAGACCGAAGACAGAGCGTCTGAAGATGCGGAGGGCAGGGTGCTGCAGAGTCTTGATGGTCTCTGCCGCCTTGACCGGGTCGGCCAGCATGCGGTTCTCCTTGAGGATAGAAAGACCGGTGTATACCATTGAGCAGTAGACAGTGAATGCAGCGCCCAGGTGAGCAGTCAAGCGGTACTGGCTGACACGGGGGTGGCTACCAGGTTCAAAGAGGTCGTCCTTGAGCCCACTCTTGACCATCCACCAGCCGATAACACCCTGGAAGCCGATCATGCCGCAGATACCGACGAGCTTCCAGGCCATTGAGGGTGCTACCCTGCGACGTGCAATGAAGTATACGGTTGGTACGAGGAACGTGATGCCAATGACGCGACCCCAGAGCCGATGAGCCCATTCCATAAAGTAGATTTGCTTGAAGTCGGCCATGTCCATACTCGAGTTGAGCTGGGCAAATTCAGGTGATGCCTTGTATTTGGTGAACTCGCTGTCCCATTCGGCCTGGCTCATGGGCCAGAGGGAGCCGGTGACAGGGCGCCATTCGGTGATGCTCAGCCTGTTCAACTTAGCAGATGCGGTAGATGGGGTGACGTCGGTGCCTACCCAGACTCTGTGAGACGAGTCAGACCACCAAACACGACTATACCGAAAACGCTCGCAGCACTACCCAGCAACCAGTATGCGACGCTCTTGGAGGTTGTCTTGGGGAAGCTGCTCGACTGGCTCTCAGTTTTGGTCGCAGCATCCGCCAGTATCGCCCTGCCCGCACTCGATCCCTCGATGGTCGCGGTACTGCGGAGAGGCTGGGTGGATTTCCATCTCACCGATTGCAGGACGGACGGTCGGGATGAAGATCGTGAAGCGGAGACGGCGGCTCGAATCGGCGAATTGAGGCATGGCCTGCATACGAAGAGGCGTCGTGAGAGGCGTGGAGCGGCAGTCCGCAGCTGCGGAAATGCCTGGAATATTGAAGCCATTACAGCGACATCTGGGGAGAAAGGAGGAAGTTTCAAGGGCAGCAAGTGTGCATGTCATCGACTTTGACTCCTCGGTGGTTCGACGGCGCGGCGGCGAGCCAAGAACGAACCCTGCATATCCACGCCCGTTGACAGGCGGAAGCGACGACCCACTCCGCAGGTTCGCAACTGCATCACCGGACCCCTCCTAGTGAAGATCGCCATTTGGCGTCTGCCGTGCTGGCAGCGTGATGCGCCCAGCCTCCACCGTATTTTGCGACCGCTATCTTCCCTTTTCCTATATGACTTTGACCGTCTCTCCATCGCGTACGTGACCATCCCGTGTTATTAGACCCGGCGTGCTCTGCGTTACCCCACCCGCTCCGGTCGCATCCCCAGCCGTCGTCGACCATCACGCCCTATGTACTTCCAAAGCAGCTTATAGCATAGCATGGACCCCGCCCATCAGCCACCCACCGGTCACGGGAGCAGCAACCTCGAGAATGAGGCCGAGTCGCAAATTGGCGGATTAGAGCGCAACGAAACATGGCCGTTGGGCGAGGGAGAGCGTACAGAGGGCGGCGCAGGCTCGAGTAGTACCCCATACGTCAGCCTCTTCTCACCCAATGTACCCGCCGTACCACCTTCTGCGCCGTCGGACCTCACTGGTAGTCCCAGGGCACACGTGAGCCACTCCAGGTCTCTCAGCTACTCACGCTCGATGCCGTCACTGGCCAACTACTCCAGCATGACATCGCGTGCCTCTAGAGCTCACGGTCAAGAGGAACGACCGCCCATAGTTCAGCTGCAAACCCGGATAGACCAAGCCCAAAAGAGCGCCGATGATCCAAACACCCCTCTGGAAGAACAAGGCAAGAGGCGCACGACGTTGGACCTGATGCGTACCGAGCACTCTGTTCGCACCGACATTAGTAGGTTGTTTAGCGAGAGCGCAGCTATGCCTGGAACTAGGGCACCTTCCTACAACAACGCGACAGGACCATTGTATCTGCGAGGTGAGCATTATCATGAGATTGCCTTGTGTACAGGCTAACATTGTCAGTTTCAGGCGAGGCCATACCTCTTCCTGACCACCTTTACACCCGCGGGCTGCTCGAAGGACGACACTCGGACATTACCATCATCGCCTTTGGCCAGCGATATCCTCTGCACCGCCTCATCCTCGACCGCGCACCCTTCTTCACAACCGCCCTCTCCGAGCCATGGCTCGAAAGCCGGTCCAAGGAAGTCAAACTACACCCAGAAGAGATCGATTCCAGCATTACGCAGGCATCGTTTGAGCTGGCTATACGTAAACTCTATGGCGTTGATATCTCGAAAGAGTTGGACGCTGAAGCCATTGGTCTCTTCGCGACTGGCTGCTGGCTAGAGATGCAGGACCTTATCGACTCTGCGATCGAATCTATACTGCGGCAGATGGCACCGGAGACGCTTGCCTACCTCATCCGCTTGGTCACCTCCAACTACTATGGCCGGTCTGGAGACCGCATACTTGAGTCGGCCAAGGCGATGCTGAGCAGGAATGGCTGGGAAATGCCTCTCAAGTACTGGGACGATATGCCCGGCGACATAGTCCGTGAGCTCGTAGGGTCCGACGGGTTCTTTGTGGATAGCGAGTGGGACCGTTGGGTACTCTCCAAGCGTCTTCTTGACCGCCGACTACGTCAAGCAGCCGTCGAGGCTGGCCTTATCCAGCGAGGACAGAGGCCCATCCCACAAGCACCCAACTCTCTTCGTCTCATGGCAGTTCGCTTCGACGGTGTTTATCGACAGAACGCCCTGACAACGGCGCATTCCTCATCCGATGCGCAGGCTGACTGGCTTGCTCTTTACACCCTGCCCGATATTGAGCGCATACTCGTGTTGCTAGACGAAGGTATCCACTACATTCACATGGAATACGAGCAGCTCGAGTTTATCAGGAACGCTCGCGACGTGTTTGGCCTACCAGTGATGCCCGAAAGGGTCATCTCGAATGCGCTATGGCAGCAACTGGCTCTTCGCCAGAGGGTGCTCAACACCGATGAGTCTGCTCAGGAGCTGGGCCTATGCCAATCAACTCCAGACCCCGAAGAAGTGAACGTGGCGACGAAGACTGGAAGTGAGCTCACTGACAAAGGAAAGCAAAAACAATCAGCGGATCCTATCGACGAAGGCGACATCGAGTCGGATAGTTGGGACGGCAATGGAAAGCCACGCAAGTTTTGGATCCCAAGCTCAGACTGCAATATCGTCTTAGGCAACGGTGCGGATCCCGTCGTTACAACATCCAACTCTTTTCAGCGCCATGCTTCGCGTCTTTCAGCCACGATACAGCCAGAGGACGCGCAATGGGCCACCGACTTTGCCTCTACTCCGTCGACATTGACGAACCCAAATACTCGCATGGATTTCGCACAACGCCCGATATCTGCCGGTGGCGGTAACGCTGGACAGCCAAAGCCAATCGCCTATACCGAATTTCCTCCATTCCGCTTCTCGGCCGAATTTCCTAACCCACGATTCCTTAAAGAGAAAAAGCGCGTCTATTCAAGGACAGTATCCTACGCAGGTTCTTTGTGGAACATCTACATCCAGAAAGTTCGCTCTGCCAAAAATATCCAGTTGGGTGTATATCTCCACCGTGCCAAGGAGCGAGAGGTAGATGAGACTGGACACGTCAGTGGTCTCAGCCAACAGAACAACGGCTCAGTTGATGAGCGTATCGGCCAGCTAGAGCGCGAGATGCTCATGCGCAGTGACCGACGTGATCGGCGGCGCAGCACGCGAGTTCCGTTCATGGATCCTGCTGCAGAAGAGGACACCTCTGGCAGTGGTGGAGATCCCGACCCTGCTCTCGGCTCTCTGGGACTGCGCAACCCACTCTTCTCTAGCGGTAGTCTTGGCCGTCATCGCAGTCGTCTACCCACTCGCGGTATCCCACAATGGGGCTTCCAAAACCTGGCCTCTTCACCTCCTCAAGACGGTGATACCATAGACTCTCCCTCCTTCGTTAACGCTCCCTATTCGCCATCCGAACACGACTCAGACCCATCTGATGACGACGACGAGTCAGACGCCGCCGCCTACATCAACCCCTCTCTCGCCTCTAGAATCCAGCGCAAAACACGAGCTGTCGTTCCCGCACTCCCACCCTACGTCGACGGCCGACCCACAATCAAGACCTATTTCAAGATTTACAGCCCCTCCAAGGGCGGAAGGATGCTCAGCATCTACGAAAGCGCGCCTGACCGCTTCAACTTCAGTCAGAGCTGGGGATGGAAGAGCAGCACTTTGATGCTGGATGAGATCACGATCAATAACGGCGGAGATGATACCCTGGCTGGTGCCAACCCAGCTGCAAGCAAGAAGACGGATGGCAAATTGAGGTTCATGGTTGTTATCGGCAATCTGTAAAGGGCGCATATGGATGGATGGAACGGGTTCTGGGTTCTGGGTTTGGGGGTATGCATCAGCGATGGGTGTTTTAGTACAGGCAATAAGGTCAAGGCGTCTCGGGTTTGTGGTGGGGAGGGTTTAGATACCGACTTCTACCTATAGACATTCATAGCTCTCACATCTACTCGCGCACAAGACTTAGGTAGTGGCCCTTGTGTTGACATGCACTAGCAGAGGACCGAGGCTCAGAAGGATCACGGCTTTGACACGTCGACGCGACTGCTCGGTTCATCAAGACTATATACCATCACGTCAGACACGACACATCCATTGGTTCTCTTCTCGTCAGATCCCGATCCATCTCCTGGAATAGCAGATTTCGCAATTGTATCCAGTACTTCCGATTTCCCGGCACCGGCGCACAACGACGCGCGTGGCACGCACTGGTTAAACACTTTCCGCAAATCACCATAACAGTCCGGGGCATCTACTCACTGCACTTAGGCCATGGGAGATTAACTGAGCCTTGTTTTATTGATTGCAGCTTGGTGTACTAGAGCTATCTGTGATCAAGTACATGATACCACCAAACGAGCTCTTGTGCAGAAGCAGCAAGCGCGTCCGCTTGACTCCCCTTACCCACTTCCATTCTGATTACCACTCAAGCTTACAACACCGAAGGCTGTCTTCCGCTGAAAATCCGAGTCCTCGGCAAATGAACACGGAAAAATGAACTCCAACGCGTCGTCAATGCGAGCCAGAGTTTCCTGCACACGATCATTGAACTCAGGAGACCTGTCAACGTCCCATCGCTCCTCCTCCAATTCCGCACCTAGATTGTGCAGGCAGACTGGTCCGAGGTTCTGAAGCTGTTTGCGAGGAATTGGGTGTACGGCGTGAACGATTCGCTCGGTGATCTCGCTCTTGTCGGGGAACTGGGCCTTTGCGCGAGGATCGACTATGATGGTCGTCTTGGTGTAGAAGGGAGACTCAACGACGAGATCGCGGGTGGTATATCCGCTCCACAAAGAGACGACTTCTTCGAAGTCTTGAGGGGTAAACTCCCACAGCTGCATCGGGCGAGTGGGCGCGATCAGGCCAGGCGCGGTGCCCGAAGCAACTCCACTAGATGCACAACGCGCGGAAGGGTGAGTCGGAAGTTCGACTAGGGGGCGTGCAGTCGAGGGCTGCGCGAGGGTCTCGGGGCCATGATTCGGCATTGGTGTGGTACTCGAGTTGCTCGTGTTGCAAGGTATTGCAGTAACGGTGTTTAGATGTGTGGTCGATGGTAGTTGTGTCTTGCGCTTCGCAGTGTGGCAACAATTGTAGGTGCAAAGATGTGTCGAGAATGCAGATTGTATTGAGCAAGATGTTACCTTTCTACTGACTTTATAGCTATTCCGCTACTGCCTTGCTGTTGGGGATATCACACGATACGATACAAGTGTTCGCGAGAGTTGTTGGCTGTCATAGCTTTGCTGGCTTTGCACGATTGATTGTTAGACTGAATCAAGTCAACGTACACTGCCTCGACGGACTCTCGGTCGCCATATTCGCTGGCTTTGACAACAAGAGCTTGGCACAGTTGACTTCACCGAACCAAACCAATGCTTGCCACGCTTCCTGCTAACGCTACTCACCATACTGGTGTTCTATTGAGGAAGCGATGTCAATCGACCTCGACAACCTTTCCAGAATGAAGCTTCACCTATTAGCAATACGTATGCTGAGAGCATGGCCTTCCGAATTGGTCGCTGCATCTAATTCTTCCAACGAACGGCATCAATAAAAAGGGGAAGCGCGTCATGGGGCGGTTGACACTCACAGCGAACCATGTAAGAGAATCTTCAACTAAGAATATACAATACATGATAACGCTGACCCAAACTCGACTTGATTAAGACCCCCAACTTAGTCCAACGTAACGCATAGAATCACATGAATGCCTCCTCCTTCTCATGCATAATCTGCCCAATAGCTTCCACCGTCTCAAGCATTCGTCTAGCGAGATCACCATCAGGCTGGAACCTTTTCTCGGTCCAGTAGCCGGACAGGAACTCCAACTGATCTTGCGCAAGGCTTCGTAGGTATCGCGTTGGTATTGGATGAACGGCGTGGAGGGTCACACGCTGTTCTGGCTGTGCTTGATCAGCATATATAACGTGACTCTCATAGCCAGCTACAATTGGTCTTACGATAGCAGATTCACAACTCGATGATGGGTCTAGAAACAAAGGAGGTGCGATTATTGTGTCTGAGCATATGGGTAGTCGAATGCAAACGTAGTATGGCGAAGCGCGCATTTGATTCAGGGTTTGGTATTGACCCCAGGAAGCGATAACGATTCTTTCGTGTTCAAAATCTTCCAGTGGCTCTGCTTCGTACTCAATCCGTGGGGTCCCGACATTTGCGCCCAGTGCTGCCGAAGGTAACGCAGGGCTGTTGCGGTCTACCCGAATACTTCCTGTTGGCGGGCTGTTCATGTCGATATGGTACATCCTGATATGGTGGGATTCGTTGAGAGAAAGTGGAAAATAGAGAGAAATGCAGTGCAGTAGGCGGCAGCTTTATTGCTAGAAGAACGTATCGTCTATCTTTGTCCTGAGCTTGGAATTGATCAGAATCCTTCCACCGTGTTGGCATCAACCTCCGTGCTGTCAACGTAGATACTATCAGCATCTTTGCAACTGCACTCGTTTGATAGAAACAGCTCAGCTTTGTTGGGTGCCCCGGTCATTTGCGTAAAAGCATGGATTTGTTGTGGCGTTGGTGACAGCAGTCAGCGTCGTGTAAGATGTCAAGCAAACATTTGGTCACTATTGTCTGCGCATACTTGTATTTATAGAGCATTACTATTGTTGGAAAACTTCATGTACAAACGACGGGAGATGAACGTGACAATCTCAACCTGGAAGGACAACGTCATAAGCCTCTACCCGGTATACTTCCCGCCGCCAGCACCTCCAATACCATCTACACGTACGTCGATTAGTCTTTATTCTATTCACTTTGAATGGCTCACTTACTCTTCTTCCTCCACGCCTGCTGTTCGTGAGGATGAATAGCACCAGCCTCGTCAAAAGCCCTCTTATTCATCTCATTCAACAGAATATCTGCTGCCCACTTGATCTCAACCATACGTTTTTCGGCGTGAATTCTCTTAGAATCTGACATTGCAGTATCGAGAGTCTTCTGATGTATTCTGTTCAACACTCGTTGGGTGGTTTCGATATCTTTGACCGGTGTGCGCCCTCTGTCAGGTAGACCAATAAGTTCGTACGGATCTTTCCGCTTCTCTTCATCACTATCGGGGTCGTCATCGTCGTTGTCAGGAACGAGTTGATTTTGTGGAGTCGGGGAGAACTGCTGTGATCGTTCGTTTTCAGATAGCATGCGCTGCCTGTAGTCGTGTGGTTGCTTGACCTCTTCGTTAAAGTGGCTTTGTCTATCCTGCTCTCGCCTCTGTTGGTCCTGCCTTTCCTGATTTCGCCTATCCTGCTCCCTTTTTACGGCTGCTTCTCGACGCTGTTCCGCAAATTTTCGTTCAGCATCAAGCTTTTCCTGCTCTGCCCTTTCCATCATCTCACGCGTCTTGCGCTTCATCTCATCTCCTCTACTCAATGCCTCGTCAGTGCGCAGTATGGTGTCCTCTTTCAGGTCATTTTCAATCTTGATCCTTTCGAATCTTTTCTGTGCCTCCTTGAGCTTACGAGCCTCCTCTTTCTCCGTCTTAATCGCTTTCTTCTCTTCAGCTTCCAGCCTGGCTCGCGCCTTCACTGCTAGTTCGTCATCGTATCTGTGCTTCATCTTCTCGTTGTGATCATTATCTTTGTTGAGCCGGTCGAGAAAGAGCTCATTTTTGTCTTGGTTGGAGGACCCTTGGATCTGAGCAGGCGCTGGCGCTGTGTGCGAGTGCACAACAATATTCTGGGTAAGAGCCTGTCCAATCATCGCTGGTGGTGGTATCTGTTGATTGATGAAAAAATTTTGTTGCGGTAGGTTGAAAGAATGCTGTAACGACATCTGCTGAAGGAACGATTGCTGATGCTGTCCCAGCTGGAGGTAGGCCCATCCGCCGTGCATTTCAAACACCACTTCGATGATGTTCTGAAGTGTCTTTACCAGTCTCATGGATGACGGCCAACTCTCTATCTCTTCCAAGAGTATATGGAAGGCCATGATGAGGTCCTCGTCACTCTTAAGCCTCAGAATTCCGCGCGGAATCGGGTGGATGCTGTTCAACACACCGAAGCGAACTCTGTTTGTAACGCAGAGGGTGAACATGGTGCAAGGTAAAGAGCTAAATCGGAATATCAGGCCAATGTGAGTACGATGATGATGCCTAGGAAGTTAGCAATGCAAGAAGTAGGATGGTGAGGGCATGCGCATAGAAAGCGACGATTTTGTATTGCGGGTTTGCTCTTAGTGTGGTACTCGATCATTGAATCAACCGTGTGGCTTCCAATAACCTCCATATGTCAATAAGTACGCATATCAAGCGTGAACTTGTGAAGACACGATCATTGTCGTACATGTTTGCTGCAAACGTCGCGGACATTGTAACGCGCCAGGCTCCGTGGGCCAGGCTCAACCTTGGAAGAAACTGTGGTGAAGCATAACCAAACTCAAAGATTCACAGACGTTGATAGAAAGAGCAGGGTGAGATCAGTGTGAGATGTAGGAACTTGCAGCTTCCCCATGATTGAGGAGAACGCTGAAGGATTGAAAGCCAATGATGGCATCATTATTAAGCATCCCCAGGTCTACTTGCACATCACCACAATCGTCCATAATCATAGCAATAAGCACGTCTGGGTACGAATCTAATACCAGATATCTCCACTATATCGACCTTGTAGCGTTACAAGTTCTGGCGATGCCAACGCAAGTAAGTGCTCATCGCTCGACAGTGCCGTGGTGTTCAGATTCACAACAGCCTGAGCCTGCACAACCGCGTGACAGTTCGGAGGTCAACACCAAATACGCTACTGCTAAAACCAAGTTCGTATTCATCTCATAAAGCTACAGTTCCTCAACTTCTCCATGTGCGCAACAAGTTCCGATTTCGTCATGCTCATCCTACTCGACTCCTAAGCTAGGCGCTTTCTCCATCCGATCAACATAACCCGACGCCTTCTACTTGGCTCCATGCTCCGCCTTCCAAGCCGCATACTCCCTGTCGTCCTTCTCTTTCTCCGTCTCGGGGCGTTCTCCAAGGAAATTGCCATATCGATCAAATTCTTGAATCACGTGTTTGTCTGGCAACGCTGCCTGGGGCGATAGAGGAGCTGGGGCTGGAGCGGGTGCAGAGGTGATGTTTTGCTGCGGAGCTGGAGTGGACTGAATGGTAAGATTTGGCACTTGCGCTGTCTGAGTGATTGAGAGTCCTGGCGACACACCCGAGAGTATGTTTAAACTTCGCTGGTGCAGGCTCATGTGTGATATGCCCACGTAGGGTCTGCCCCTCCGCTCAAGGATGCGCATGATTCTTTCCTGAGTCTTTTCTACGCCTGGTAATTGGAATGCGGATATATACCCGCTCCTTTCCTTCTCATTGATCTCGTTGTAGAGACCGACAAGATCTTCATCCATGTAGATATCCAAGTGATGATACGCCCAAGGATGCTTGCGCAGGTACATAGGAGGACCACGGGATGGTCGAATCATGTCGAATGTGTGTTAGTGGCGTTATCGATGATTATACTGTGTGCTTCGAAAGGTAGGTACAAGTTGGCGGGAATGCGGTCGTAGATAACTAGGAAGGGTAATGTTCAGTAAAGAGAAGAGGTGCTACGGAAGTGCTTTATACTATGAACTGACATTTAATTCCGGGCTCTTGCGTATGTATCGGTTGCCAGCATGTGGTGGGAATGTGATACTCGTATCATATCATTCCGCCAGGTCACCACTAAGTCTTCACATTAGATCGTGATCATTGTATAAAGAATTCTTTGTGCTGACGTGCCTTCATTTACATGATGGGTAAGAATCGTGAACGATTATCAATAGAAACGTACTCACGTTGCGGAGAAGATCTACTTCGTGACAATTTCGACGCACATTCTACGTACCAGGCTCTGAATCTAGGAGAACAGCAGCGGACCTATTCATGTTTCGCGATTGACAACATATTCGGCGATGATTTAGCCCACAGGATAAGAGCAGAATGTTAAATCTGCGTCATTTACAACTACCTAATCATACTATGTCTTCGCCATCGCCATCGCTATCGCCATCACCATTCCCGATTCCCCATCCCCTCTCCTTCAATCCAGACCATCGCCCGCATCCAATAGCTTAATCACTATCACTATCGTAATCGAAGAACCCCCGCCCTCCAAAGCTCCTAGGGCTTCTCACATACCCGATGCGTAGTGTTCCAATTCCACCGATCACAAAGTTGTGCACCAGCGTGGATGTCACGGTCAGTGTAGCCACTGGAGCAGAAAGATTCAGCAGCTGCGGCTGTTGTTGCTGCTAGTAAACCACGTTCGGCTGCGGCTGGGGTAGTACTTGCTGGTGGTAGATGATATGCTGCTGTGCTGGCGGTTGCGCGGGCTGCTGTTGTACTTGCTGATGAACTTGTATCTGCGTCTGGACTGGCGCTGGTGCTGGCACTGGCGCTGACATCTGGATGTTGATGCTTCCACCCCCTCCCACTTCTCCGAGCATCACCGCGCCGTGCGCCCTGAGACGCTTTTCGATCCTGCTAGCCGTGCCAATAATGTCGCTTCTTTCGGGGTACTTCTGCAGTAATTTGTACATATTGTTGTGTGTTTGAAGAAGGTAGTCCAGACTCTGCCTCTCGATGAATGTCATGGGCCAGGGATGCTCGGGATAGTCATCTAATCCGCAAAAGTTTGGGGCGTGTATATATGAAAGTCGGAAAGTCTTGATCAGAAAGGTGAGCGTGGGTGTTCTCGATATTGGGTAGAGTCGAAACAATGCTTTTGTTGGGTCGATCTGTCGCTGGCGAAGTAATGTTGTTACTCGTGGGATAGTCAGGAGGGAAGTTGGGAACAGAGCTTTATGTATTTTGTATCAAACAAATCACATCTCGGTCACTAAAACCCGTGAGTACAGAGACGTGGCAAGGTGAATTTCTGTGACAGGATACCTCGTTCGCTGGCTATGGGTATGATCTGGAAAACGTCATCATGTGTATGTGCCACCATCGACCATGTTGGCGACCACAGTGATCAACAAGGCACGTCTTCACAATAGCCAGCAAAGAAGCTGTTCGCTGAACAACGCGCACGTTGCTTGTGTTTTTGTCACGTTAGCGAATCTTCACAATTTCACGGGTAACATACCCAACCCAATTCTCATGGTCTCTTACCCACGTCCCTTATCGAAGTTCATACCCTAGGACTTTTCAATAACACAACACCATAGCACTACCAACTGAATACGATGCCTACATCCTTAACCCTCAACGCCTTCACCCATCCCCACCCTTGGACACCCTCCGCCATCCACCTCTCGCCCACTCCATCTCTCATCTCTACCCAAGCCTCCATAACACACCAACTCTACATCCTAAACTGTCGCGGCCACGATGCGCGAGACATGCAGAGAACACTCAACTACATCACGGCCGAGCTGCGGATTCGAGAGATCGAAGACCTCGCTCTAGCAGAAGCCAGTCGCAAAATCACAGACGCAGAGGGCAAAACCGACGAGAATATTGGTGGGGAGAGCAGCGAAGATGGCAAGACAGGACTCTGGATCAAGAAAAAAGACGGAGTTGCACGCATGCGGGAGATGGAAGATAAAGATAAGCGCTGGGAGAGGGAGAGTGGTGGAAACCCGTGGTGGGGTGAAGGTAGGACTGCGCATCTGTACGGCAAGTAGGCGTTCACGTTCATTGGACCAAATAATGATGAACTGGAAATGTATTAAGATCCTGCAATGCGCTATCAAGTAGTAATATGTGATACATGCTGCGATCCAGTATTGCTTGGGTATCATACCTGTACGCCTGCAAATGCCCAAACTATCGAGACGCTGTATCAAATCAATCTTCCGCGTCTCCTCCGCCGCGCTCCATACGTGCTCTGATGTCTCTCACTAGTGCTTTCGCGTCTTCTACCTCTACGCCGTCTTGACAGAGCTCGTTCGCCAGCTCCATTGCCCGTTGGTACATGCCGCGCATATACTCCCATCGAGCGAGCCAAAGTCGGGCTTTGCTTGTCGTTGCAGTAACACCAACACCACCGGCGGCTTCAGAGCCCACTTCTTCGTAGTCTGGCCCTTCTTCTTGCGCAAGCACTAGTTCCATGTATGCCGCACATTCGTTCATGTTGTTTATCCTCTCGTACAGCAGGGCGATCTGGTAGAGTACCTCGGGGTCGAGAATACCTCCACCAAGACCAGTAACCTCGCTACTGCCGAAAGAGGCACCAACACCGGCATCATAGTATGAGCCTGCGACCAACGCGCGTTTGTATGACCGGATGCCATTCATGATCTTGCCCACTTTGCCAAAACACTGGCCGACCGCCATCCATAGTTTCGGATCGTAAGGTCGCAGGGCAGCGGCGCGTTGGTGATAGAAAAGGGCGTACGAGTGCATCTCCAGCATTTCGTATGTCTGACCAAGTCCGTACCAGGCGCGATAGTCCTTGCGATTGACATCAACAGCGCGACGATATGATTCAATAGCGGCGTGGGTGTTCTTCATCTCCACGAACTCATGGCCCATAAGCGTCCAAGCGGAAAGGAAGGTCCGATCTAACGTCAGAGCTCGCCGGAAGTACATGACAGCTTTCTCATGCTCCGATTTGAGAGAGTAGTAGTTGCCCACCACGCAACATGTCTCCGGTCGGAATTTGTCGGTCGCTGTGGCGAGCTGCGCCAGGAAGGCAAGCTTGGGTCGCATGCCCATGACATACAAGATGTTGGAGTAATTGTCGAGATGATCGACCCGATGTGGATCTGATACGAGCAAGTCTGAAAAGATCTGTTCGGCATCGTCGAAGTCTTTGTTGTGGTAGTGGAGCAATGCCCGTTGGGTCTTGAGAAAGGCCGATGATGGAAAGATGGTCAATATTTGCGACAGCGAAGTGTGGATCTGTTCGTTGACTACGTAGAGCTCCTGCGACGAGGTAACGTGGAAGATGAAGGTCATGAGGTTTTGCGGTAGGCGTGTGACGATGCCGTTGAGCTCTTCCATGGTGGTTAGAAGTGCTTGTAGCTCCTGCCATGCACCCCAGTTGTAGGTATATTGGTGGACACTTTTGATCAAGTAGTCGATGGCGAGCTGCTCGTTCTTTCCCTTGGCCAGGACCATGCCGTATAGATACTCCAGCCAGCCCTGCGGTTGGCGCCCGCTGTTGGGCAGGTCTCTGAACCACTCTTCAAGGACAGCAGATACTGTAGGCAGCTCCTTGTTCAAGGTGACGCCTCCATCTTGAGGGCCGAGAATCATCTCGCTGTCCTCGTTCATGCGCTTCTCCCCTGCGATGTATTTTGCATACAAGGCAAGGAACAGTGCCTTCTGACTGATACCCTTCATTGTATCGTTGGAAAGCTTGGACTTGGATGGCGTGACCATCTTCGCCTTTCCCTTGGCGCCCTGCTTTGACTTTGCTGTAGGCGTAGCAGGTGCCTGTGAGGCGCCCTTGGGCAGAGGGCCAGGCAGGAAGACGGCGGCGCATCGATCGTATTCGCGGCAGTCGAAGTATGTCTTGGCGAGGAGGAACTTGTGCGTCTCACGTGCTTCTAGACGTGCTTCGATGGGGTCTTTGCGTACGAGATTGGGTGTTTGCGGCGGTTGCGCATCCGACATGGGGGAGTCGACGTCGGTGTCCGAGCCTTCATCATCGGCCGATGGGAGCGAATCGAGTAATTCTGCGGCCCTTGTCAATATCAGCATGCAAAAGTCAGTCTACGCAGCCAATTGCACTCACCATTTCGCCGAGTGGTAGAGGCAGCGCTCTGTGCAGCCGATGACGGCGTCCTGGAGCTGGGCCTTGAGTTGGGCCTCGTCGGCCGGCGATAGAGTTCCCATCGCGTCGATATCAGGAAGAGATTGCTATTTCCGCACTCTAGATCATGGTTCAGGGCTCTATCGCGTGATGTCGCTGCCGCCGATGCGCGTGTTGATGGGGAGCTTCCTGTCGTGGTAGGGTGGGGCACAAACAATGCCCCGGCGAGCGGTTAAAGGTTGCGCCGCTGCGCCGCGGAAATTAGCCCCTTCACCGCCCGCACCCCTACATCTGCTACTGCCCCTCTATCTTGAACACTGTTCTGCAAAGATACTCAATTCACTGCGTTCAAGATGCCGACCACACTCAAGGAGTTCGAGAGCGTATGGCCGCGCATTGTGGCCGACCTTCAGGAGCACTGCAAATCATACAAGCTGCCCCAGCAGTCCCTTGATTGGTTTACCAAGGTAGATATATGCCGAAGAGCGCATTCAGGGTCCAGCTCGCTCACCACATCCCATAGTCACTGGACTACAACACCGTCGGCGGAAAATGCAACCGTGGCATGTCTGTTATCGACACCACTTCAATTCTGCAGAACAAGTCTCTTGACCCATCATCAGAAGAGTACTTCCGTGCTGCCCTGCTCGGATGGATGATCGAACTCCTCCAGGCTTTCTTCCTGGTTTCGGACGATATCATGGACTCTTCAAAGACCCGTCGTGGCAATCCCTGCTGGTACCTTGCACCCAAGGTCGGCATGATCGCCATCAACGACGCCTTCATGCTGGAGTCAGCCATTTACGTGCTCCTCAAGAAGCACTTCCGTCAGGAGAAGAGCTACGTCGACATGATTGAGCTGTTCCACGAGGTCACATTCCAGACCGAGTGCGGTCAATTGTGTGACCTTTTGACTGCCCCCGAAGACGATGTCAACCTTGACAACTTTAGTCTTGACAAGTTCACCTTCATCGTCATCTACAAGACTGCCTATTACTCTTTCTACCTCCCAGTCGCACTGGCGCTCTACTATGCTGGTGCAGCTACACCAAAGAACCTCCAGACCGCAGAAGACATTCTCATCCCCATGGGCGAATACTTCCAAGCACAAGACGACTACCTCGATGCATTTGCTGACCCCACCGTTCTCGGCAAGATTGGCACTGACATCATGGACAACAAGTGCTCATGGTTGATTAACCAGGCCCTTAAGAAGGTCACTCCGGAGCAACGAAAGGTGCTAGAGGACAACTACGGTCAGAAGGACTCGCAAAAGGAGGCCAAGGTCAAGGAGCTGTATCATGAGCTTAAGCTGAAGGAGTTCTACGAGCAGTGGGAAGAAGAGCGCGTTACCGATCTGAGGGCGAAGATCGACAAGGTTGATGAGAGCGAGGGCTTGAAGAAGGTGGTCTTCGAGACTTTCCTCCAGAAGATCTACAAGAGGAGCAAGTAAGCTGATGACTAATTATACCATATGAGAAAAAAACCTCGAGTGCCCACAGAATCCAACGAACTGTTAGAATCACCTCGTGGCTCACAGCATCTTGTTCACATTGATCAACTATAATGCCATCAACACTATTCCTGCACACAATTAGTACTGATGCTAGGCGTGAGTGATGAAGGAACTTTGCACATCCAAGGGCATCCACGTGGGCGAATCGCGCTAGGCGCGGGCCGGCCTAAGTGGAGCGAGTCATCCCACCAGCTGTCGCGAGATCCAGTGACGCCGCGTCGCGATTGTGGACCACGAAGGTTTCGTCCCATTGCCATCAAAACAACAACACGAACGCCTCTCGTGCTCGCGCAGTCACACCCGACGAGCACTATGACCTATTCTTATATTTGCGCTAAGCGCAATCTGAAGGACGGTGGCACTTGATAAGATGGGGGCCAGATTCTGCGGCTCAGGCGCCCTGTCAATCAAAGTGGCGTGGTTGACGATTCCCCGTCCCGTGTACACGACCCTACTGGAAGTTTCCTTTCGTGTCCTGGCTCTCATTGTTTTACTGGGCTACGATGTTCTCCAACTTCGCCAGTGCAATATCTGGCAGTGCTTCAGAGAGGACAAGCAAAGATGAAGGAGCTTCACTCACGTCGGTGCTCGAGACACCTACCCTACGCGTTGAATTGGCTCTTCTCGTCCTCCTCAGTATCGATGTCATGCGAAATGATCTCACGGCTACCTTCGAAGCATACGACAACCCCGAACCGAAACCCTCCGTTGCAACCCGGCAGCCCGCACCCAAGACTGGAGCCCAGGCCCCAGATCTCATGGCCTTCGACGAGTCGAGAAAGACTACGAAACCAGCGCCTCCTACTAGGCAAACATCACATGAACATGAGTCCACACAAATGCAGGCTTTGCGACGGAGTGCCTTGACCTTCTTCGACAAATGGCGGGCGAGCGTTATGCATCGCATATGCGAGGTCCTCTCTGTTCGGGGAGAGACTGTCCGGCAAGCCAAAGCAAAGCGGAAGCAAATGCTAGACCAAGCCGACAGGCAAAATCAGGGCATCTCTTCGCTCATCGATTTCGACGATCTCGATCCCTTCGCAAACGCGACTCCCACACGACCCAAGAACCCAAGACACGGACACTATGAGGTGATTGAGACTAGACTGCTGGCTCTTGAGCAAGACAAGCGCGTGCTGGTGTTACACTGCCTCTTGCTGCTCCTATTGAGCTTGGAGCAATACTCGGCGTATTCGCGCATTTTGCTGCTACGTCTCGCAAGCAGTCTGAAACTAGAGGCTGATTTGCTCGCCGAGCATGAGAAATCGGTTGCACAAGGTCTCTTGGCGACGGCTGCCTCTCAGATGGACGCCGAAGCGACAGCCAAGACCCAGGCGTCAAATGATGCTGTGTCACGCCGTTGGAAGGTTGGTCTCGCGACTGTGGGTGGTGCGGTCTTGATTGGTGTTACTGGTGGCCTTGCTGCGCCTTTACTGGCCGCGGGCCTGGGTACTGTCATGGGTGGACTGGGCCTTGGAGTCGTTTCAACGTACCTTGGTGCGTTAGCGGGCAGTTCAGTGCTCGTTGGATCACTATTCGGAGCCTACGGTGCGAAGATGACAGGGCGTTTGATGGACCAGTATGCGAAAGAGGTTCAGGATTTTGAGTTTCTTCCAGTCCAAGGTATTTCAAGGTCAGAGATAAAGCGATACCTTGAAGCTAAATGTACCAGATCCCGATCGACCGACGGTTCAACGTGAGCTCGATTGGGCTGATGAGCAAGATGCTCGTGACCCCCAGAAACGTGAACAGCACCGATTGCGCGTATCCATTGGTGTCAGCGGCTGGCTAAGCTCGCCCTCCGACGTCAGTAAGCCCTGGGAGGTCGTCGACTCTGGCACAACTGAGCCATTCGCATTGCGTTTCGAGCTTGACGCCATGCTGCGTCTCGGCAACTCCCTCAACGACGTACTCTTCGGATACGCTTTCGATGGTGTCACATACACTGTCGTCAGTCGTACGCTTCTTGGCGCGCTGTACGCAGGTCTGTGGCCTCTTGGCCTTGTCAAAGCTGCCAGTGTCTTGGATAACCCCTTTCTTGTTGCACTCGCACGAGCCGACAAGGCTGGTAAGGTGCTTGCACATGCTCTTATCGATGGAGTGCAAGGGAAGCGACCTGTCACACTTACTGGATACTCAGTAGGTGCACGTGTCGTATACGCGTGTCTGATCGAGCTTGCAGAACAACATGCGTTCGGTCTTGTGGAGTCAGCCGTTCTCATGGGTACACCTGCTCCTGCCAACAGCAAGCGTTGGAGGCAGATACGATCGGTCGTTGCGGGTCGCGTCGTCAATGTTCATAGTACAGAAGACTACGTACTCGGCTTTCTTTATCGGTCGGCAAAGCTACAGGTAGGTGTCGCTGGTCTACAAAAGATCGAAAATGTCCATGGCGTGGAGAATATCGATGTAAGCAAGCTTGTCAGTGGCCACGACCAGTATCGGTATCTGGTCGGTACGATACTGGTCAAGGTTGGACTCGGCGATGTGGACTTCAACAAGGTAGCTGAGCAAGAACGTGCTCTCGAAGAGGCGGAAAGGCGAAAGAAACAAGCTCAAAAGGAGGCCAAACGCAAGGCAACGACTGAGAAAACAAAAGAGCCTGTCGTCAAGCCTCAGCCCCGAAGTCGGCCGGTTGCTGCGACTCAGGACTCTTCGAACTCTCTGATAGATCTTACAGAGCCAGAGCCGACTAAAGCATCAGTCTCCAACAGCGATCTATCTGGTCTTTCCTTCACCTCAACTGGTGTACCCGCGACTGAGCGACCCTCTCTCAATGTCGAAGCATCAGTCCCGGCTCGCCATAAAATGCACACGGAAGAACCCAGAAGCACACCCGATACCAAAACAGATTCTTTTCCTCAACTACACGACCAGTTCAGTCCCGAGAACTCGACTGTTCGACTGCAAAAGAAAGGAACTGAAGTTGCTGTTACCGAGGTTCTTGTCGTGGAAGGAAGTGACTCTGCTAAGGCTGAGAGTGTTGGTAACGAGCATGACGATGAATTTGACGACTTCGACTACGATGCTGAAGAAGTGAGTAGCGAGTTCGGAGAACTCAGCATGGTAGAGCCACTGCCTATGGACGATTTCGATTATGGCTTGATGTAAGGGCATGTTGCAAAGCTCGATTAGCGATACCCACCGGCTCATTCCCTGAGAGCTTCAGGGTCAGCGCATGTGTTGAGATCATAATGAGAGAACTCGTGCATATAGTCATGTGTCCAAGTGAACGTAGACCAATCACGTCCTTATAAGGGCTCGCAAGATCCACCTAACCTGACTAGTGGCTGTCGGATGGTACGCCTCGATTATGCACATTCCTTGTATGCCGGCTTACATGCAAGGCACCAGCGTTCCTTTGAAGTAGACACGATACGCATCTTCAAGCCTCGGGTGATGCTATGGATTAGTGAACATGCACAGCGATATAAAGTCAGGTGTTCAATCAAGTTCAAGGATACCAGTCTACATCCTATATTTACTGGTTCAACACAAACAAGCACTGTGGCGCAAATACCAAGCGTCTTACTGACCTTAACATATTGACCATGTCAACGGCGACACATCCGGCATCTAAGCTACCGCCACCATCTTTCTCTAAACTCGGTCCGCGCATGTCCCTTTACACCCCACCATCGCACGCCACCGGCGAACTCATCATCCTATGTACGTGGCTCGGCGCAGCTCGGAAGCACATCGACAAATACATCTCAGCCTACCTTACCATCGCACCCAATGCCAAAATCCTACTCATCCAAAGCGACGTAACATCCGTCACAAGCTCCTACCCTAACCAACGCAAAGACATCATGCCAGCCGTCGAAGTCGTCCGCGGTGTGCTAAGTGAATGCACTTACCCAACAACTACCGTCCTCTCTCCAACTCTGACAAAAGGTCATACTACAAAGTACCCACCAAACCCCAAAATCCTCATCCACACCTTCTCAAACGGCGGCCCCATCTCCGCAACCGCCCTCCTGCTCGCCCTTCATACCCAGATCTCCACACCCTTACCCATCACCGGCATCATCATGGACTCCGGTCCCGCAGCAGGATACTACTGGAAATCCTACAACGCCATGGTTCTCTCCCTGCCATCAGGTCTCCTCCGATCAGCAGGCTACGTCTTCGTTCACGGTATCCTATTAATCTTGTTCGCGAGTGTAGCATTGGGGCGGTATGAGTATCCTGAAGTACTGGTTCGTCGGACGCTGCTAGATGAGAGGTTCGTTTGTGATGGTGGGAGGGGTGGGAATGCGAAAGGGAGGGTGTGTTATTTGTATAGCAAGGCTGATCGGATGACGGATTGGGAGGATGTTGTTGGACATGCGGATATGGCGAAGGAGAAGGGGTGGGATGTGGGAGAGGTGGTGTTTGAGGGGACGCCACATTGTGGGCATTTGGTGGGGAATGATGGGGCCTATGTTGGGGAGATGGGGAGGATGTGGGAAGGAAGGGCATTTGCGTGTTGAAGAGACAAGTAGCTGGTCGATTGCTCTCCTTTTACATAGGAGAGCTATTTGTCGGCTCCGCTCTCATATTCTTGTTGACTATGAATCTGGCACTTCATCCGCCCATGGTATACTCGATTGTGCTCCCGCTTTCTGTACCGTCATTGACGCCGCTCTGTTGGCATGCGCAATCGCGGCGTCGAGATCAAAGTCTGCTCCTCGTGCCATTGCTTTCCAGCGCGCGACGGCAACTGTGTAGGCCCCCGCAAACGTGTCGCCTGCGGCTGTTGTGTCAACAACCTTGACTTTTCGTGCCGGTACAATATGACCTTGCTGAGATATCTCCTGCTGCTTTGCCGTCTTGTAGAACACACCCTAAACAACGGAATTAGTACGAGTCAAATTGCACATTGGGGGACTGCTTACCTCGCCACCAAGCGTAATAATAACGTTCTTAACCCCCCTTGCAATGAATACAGCAGCAACCTCATCCCACGAAGTCGGCTTCTCAATCCCCGACAAAATCATAGCTTCCGTCTCGTTAACGATAAGATGCCCTAACCCATGATACGCTTCATCCGGCAACGGCACTGCGGGCGCAGGGTTAATAATAGTCTCAACGCCCTTCTCCCTCGCCGTCTTCATATTATGCAGCACAACCTGCAATGGCAATTCCAGCTGGAAAAGCGCAACCCCCGCATCCTCATCCACAAGATCTTGCACCTCAACATCTCCATTCGCACCAGGGCAGAACATAATCCTATTCTCCCCTGAACCGGTCTCGACGATAATCACCGCAACACCCGTCTTCTTCCCCTTCAGAATCTGTACCTTCTCCGTCGACAACCCATCTTCGCGTAGGGCTTTCAAGAACCCTTCGTGGAACTCATCGTCACCAACTGCACCCACCATTCTGACTTCGACATCGGAGTCTTGGGACGAGGAAGCTTGGGCTCTGGTGCGAGAGAGACGCGCACATGCGACGGCTTGGTTTGCGCCTTTCCCGCCCCAGCCAATGTTGAAGGATTCACTGGTCAGCGTTTCGCCGCCGATGGGGACACGGGCCGTGCGGGTTACGAGGTCGACGTTGAGAGAGCCGATGACGGATATGACTGCTGGTTTGGAAGACATTTTGGATGTTGGGTTTTGAGGTTGTGAGGCTTGTGGTGAGGATCTTGTATGGGACCTGCGATGAGGCTCTGGGAGGTTAGCCGAGGGCGCTAGATGAATTGGGTTAGCTGAGCCGACACTGTGGGGTGAGCTGAATGACGCGTTAGAATGCTGGGCTGAGAGATCTTGTATTGATTCGATGAATCCGATTGCGAGGTTCCAAAAAGCAGATGAGAAAATCACATCTGTGTTTTCGTGTTGAAGCTTTTCAGCGCCTGTACCCAGGTACCTGGGTAGTCTCCCTGATCACCAGAACTTCGACATTTGCGAGCAACCTCTGACAGCATCTACACAAACTCTTTGTCTAACATATCAACACAACATCATCGTCCCAAGACTATCTCTCATCATGCCTTTGATCTCATCCTAGACCTGAATCCCGAGGATTCCGACCACCTCCATATATCCTCAGACCGCTGGCAAGATCAAGAAACAACAATAACTCTCGTCACAAAGCAAAATCCAAAGGGAAGAAAACCATCCCTACGATCTACACAGAGACCCCCTCAAAATTTCCCTGAAGATAAACCATTCCCAAACCCTCGCACAACTAGGCGATCAACTCACCCATCTACCACCCCGAACCCAGAATCTAAGTCTCGTCCTACCGCATGATCCGCCTGGCGCTAAGCTCTTGATGCCAACAATCTCCCTCCCAACAAGATACATAACCCGCCTATCCATCAAAGTTCTGCCTCCCACCTCCCCGGGATACGAGCCCACGCCCCAGGATTGGAGCGGGCTTAGCCAGGCCTGGCGCGATGCATTCTCCTGTCTACAAGGTCAGCATCACATTGAAACCGTGCTGCTAGACCTCCACGGTATAGATCACTTCTCGATACCAAACCTCGTTCCGCTTCTACAAGAGGTGACTACGGGGCTGTACACGAGAATGGAAGAAGTGAGCGGGAGGGAGTTGGTTTTTTGGTATCGTGGGTGCGGAGAGGCAGGCAGAGGAAGTGAAAAAAAGGCGCAGTTGCCGGGTAAGTAGGAGGATGAATTGTTTGAGGAGGAGTTGGCTGATGCGCTGCGGGAGCGTGGGGGAGGTTAGGTGGGTTAGAACGTATGTGGGAGTTTTGGTGGGAGGTTTGTTACGTGGCTGAGCAGCATCATCGGATAGGACTTCGACTTCTCGTCGCTACTGCTTTCTGGTCAATTGTTCTACGGAGTGACGTTGACATCGCGCAAGACTGGAAATATAGATAAATGACGTAAGTATTTGATAAGATAAGCCTCGTAAGCGTGGTGCTCATGATGCTCGTTAACATAAATAGGGTATCGTGTCCCTTTGTACAAAGGTATATACAACAAAAGTTTTCCCAAGTCCAACCATGCCAAAAACACCATGCGATGCAATATTCCATACAAAAGCCGAAGAGGACTCGGAGAACATCAGTTCAGATGTGCCTTCTTCCTGCCTCTTTTCTCACCCTCCTTTCTCATGCGCCCCAATCTGGTCCCGCTATCAGGTTGGCTTGCCCTCCACCACGTCAGGGGTTTAATCTTGACATACCAACCGCATTCCTCCAACGTTTCGATTCTCTGTTTCGAGTTGATATTGCGAATCTGTTCCGTTGCTACGAGGGGCGCGTGATGTCCTGGTGCGAAGAACTCGCGTTCAGCGTCGCCCCGAAGCGCTGGACTTAGTCATGAGAAGAAGTATTTCGATTCTCGGAGACGAGATACGTCCCAGCCGCCCTTTTGTGGAACGGGCGGGAAGCTGAGTGGGATCCATACTTGAATCGTGCCCTGATCGGCAGCAATGCGGGATGCAGGTTTCTTCTTTACTGCATAACGACCGCCTTGGGGATCTTTTGCAAGATCTTCGGCGCCCTCTTCCACGATGTCCATCGTAGACTCAGTGGTGGTGACGGCGTCCTCTTCTTCGCCCAAGGCTTCATCCTTGACCTGTGTTTCCCTGTCGGCTGACTTCTTATCTTTGGTCTCCCCGAGAAGACTGAGCCTATATGAGTGGAGTGCCTTGGGATCCTGATTCTCAAGCCAGATGCTGGTAGGTGTGACCATCTCTTCGCCCTGCTTCCTCTTCTCGGGATCTTCACTCTTTAGAAGCTCTTGCCGCTTAGCCTCGAGCGCAACTTCCTCAAATGAAGCATCTCCATGCCGTGAGCCACCAGCTTTCGAAAGGATGCCCTTAGCTTGACGGCGCTCATATCTCCATAGGGTAATTTTCCGACTAACATCCGCGCCAATATGAAGGGTGGCACGGTACATAGCCCCTGCATAACGCGCGGTGAACTCTGCGGCGAGGCGGTCGACAATGTCTTCGGTGTGCATTCGTACAAAGGCATCGCGGAGGATAACATTGAGGTTGGGGATGTCGGAAGCGTGCGTCCAGAAACTGTCGTGTACGGCGGCGAAGTCAAGACCCATCTCGCTGGCCTTCAACGCCGAGAGCAACATGTGACTCGCATCGAGAGAGTGAATGAAGTTGGGTGGAAACGCTTGAAGTTGTTTGCGTTTGTCCACTTCGTCCTGCTGAGACTTCTTGGCGACTGTAATGTCTTGGATCTTGGTTTTGATCTTTTGATACCCATCTTTCCTATAAGGCTGCACAATGGGCATCTTTAGCGGGGTAGTCCAGATGATGCTAGTCGTAAAGCTCTCCATGGCCTTGTTGAGTTGCTTTAGTTGACCTGCAGAGACCTTTTGTGGCGCCTTAAATTTCGGATCGTATAGTGCTCCGGAAGGGTCCGCGCCGTCGAAGCGGTCTTTAATCCGTTTGATTTGCTCAGCAGTGATTGATGTTGTTATGCGCTCGCCGCATTCGCCAAGCCAGTATTGGATTTCCTGGGCACCATTGAAGATTTTACCCAAGGCATCAAAGATTTTGTAGGCAATGTACAACGCGACGGTTCCGAGCGAAGTAACCTGTTTTGTAGGCTCGAATTGAGGGAACAGGTTGCGTAGCTCGTCTTGCACCTGCTGCTTCGCACCCATGAAGGTAACGCCATAGACATTTGTCATGACGGTTCGCTTCACAACTTTGCGTGTAATGTGACCGTTGATGAAGCAAGCTTGTGCTAGACCTTTCTCGGCATCTTTTGCGACCATCTCTTTGACAAGTTCAGCCACACCAGTGTAAATATCCTGTGGTCTGTCGGAAGGCTCAAGGTTGACCTGACGAGCACCGGCGTAGTCACCACCAAGCGCTGCGTAATGTTGAAGTCCGTTGCATGTTCCATCTTGATGAACAGGTAACTGTGAAACAAAACGAGTCGGATCAGGCAGATCATGGGCCTTCTTCAGCTCCATGCAGCAAGCCAAGCATTGCCATGGGTCTTCCGCATGGGTCCACCACCGTCTGCCGTCCAAAGGACTTGTTGCAGAGTCGTAGATCTCTTCCAGATTATCCATGGTGAACTGTTCACGTTCTCGCAGACTAGCCTTATCGTAGCCGTAAAGGTTGGCGAGATGGATCTTGAGCCACTGTAAGCCGACCGTACCGAGTTCTTTGCCATTCGCAAACTTGAGGAGTCCTCTCGAGATATCGGATCCAATGTGATTGAGAATAGGTGGAATCGGATAGGCACGACCTCGGAAGTCGACGCTATGTGGAAAGAATATCTGCTTCTCGTTCAGATATGCTCGTGCCGTCTCTAGCTGGAAGTTTTGGAAACACCGCTGCGAATGCAGACCACCCACACTATTCTCGTATTCCTTCAGAGCCCTGCCCCACTTCGCCCGTTCCTGTAATGTGGCGTCACCAGAAGGCTCTTTGGGACGTTTGAGGTTAGTAACAGAGTCTTCTCCTACAAGAGACCCGATACTCTCGCCAGAGTTCCACGCATGAGCCATGACCTCAAAGACGGGAGCATTGATCTGCCAAGGTA